GTCCCGCCATGCTTCCTCTTTTCAACTTCTTTTAACCTTATGAAAAGTTTCGAACAAATGTATATAAACAAGAATGCCATGCACAAGTTGACAGTGGCGGCAAATTTTGTATTGTTGTTACTCGACGTTTCATGGCAGAATGGCCAGTCATCAGACAAAAATTGACTACACGAACAAGCTATGCATGCGAGGCACAATCGCATTCTCAGTGCATTGGCTGGAAATGTCCTCTGCTGACTGCACGCTCAGTCGCCAAAGTGACAGCTTTTTGGATGGCCAAGAGAAAAGCGATGGCCTTTTAAAGGGGAAGTAAAGGCAAAAATTAAAAAAATTCACCAGTTGTAGTCTTCGGGGTGCTGAGTCGAATGGTCGTGGTCCGAGGAAGCTGAGACGCTCCCTTCCTACTTGAATCCCAATCGAACTCGCGCACTTCCACCGAAACTGGGTGACTGCGCCCTACTACTGTACTAGCTAGGGATTTGTATGCAAAATGTCACTAAAAGCGCCATTTCGTTCTTATAAAAGCATGGATGACCGCGATTGGCCCATATGTTGTAGTCTTTTGGACGCTGAGTCGATTGGTTTTGGTCCTAAAAGGCTGCGATGCAGCGTTCCTCCTTTATTCCCAATCGAACATGGTTGAACAAGCCGTCACGTGCTCCTGGGTACGCCAGACTCGCCACTCACCTGGTCATCGTGCCTGCAGGGTACAACTTACTAGCCTGTTTGAAATTTTTGGGTGCAGTCCTGTCACTCGAGTTGAACTCGAGTTGAACCTTGCTGTGAAAGTTGTCGCCTGCTGGCGTGGTGACCAGGTGATTTGGGCACCCAGGAGCACGTGACCGCTTGTTCAACCATGTTCGATTGGGAATAAAGGAGGAACGCTGCATCACAGCCTTTTCGGACCAAAACCAGTCGATTCAGCGTCCAAAAGACTACAACATATGGGCCAATCGCGGTCACCCGTGCTTTAATAAGAACGAAATGGCGCTTTTAGTGACATTTTGCATACAAATCCCTAGCTAGTACAGTAGTAGGGCGCAGTCACCCAGTTTCGGTGGAAGTGCGCGAGTTCGATTGGGATTCAAGTAGGAAGGGGGCGTCTCAGCTTTCTCGGACCAAGACCATTCGACTCAGCACCCCGAAGACTAAAAGGAAACTCCTGAAGCGCAAGCCCAATGAACCGTCAAAGTAGACAGCTAGATGGAAAGGCCAAAAGAGGACACTTTGAAATTATACTGTAATAGTGTGGTAGTAGTAGTAGTGAGGAAGAGGTTGTGTGTGCGATTTCGGCGATATTTGGGGAATTGTGTGTTGCTCGCTACGTGGGAGCTTGCGCCATTCCTGCCGATTTGAATTCTCACTTGACTGACTCTCCACTGATGAAGGGTGAATTCCCCGAAACACTGTGTATTGAGCAGGGAGTGGTGCTTTCTTGCAGGTTTGCCGAGTGGAAGGTTCGATGGACTTCTCGTGTGCTCTGGATGGCAGTCGTGAGTCAGTCAAGTGAGAAGTCAAGTTGGCAATAAATTTTCCGGACCCAGCGGAGATCATTCATGAGTAAAATGGGAGTTCTTTGGCAACTACCAACGTACCTCGCCCACAGCGACGACGACCAGGAGAGCTGCTAGAACCTTCATGGTGGCAGAGATTTTTCTGCTCCCGCAAGCAAGCACTGATTCGGACGAACTGCTTGCGACTGGTGGCGACATGCATTTCTTGGCCGTCTTGCTCCATCGTCGGCGAATATGGTCTTGGATCTTGGGAAGTTGCCAAGTCAGCGGTCTCAGCCTGAGCCAGCAATGCACGCACCGTGCCAACCCGTCAAGCACGTGCCAGAAGTAGAGGAGCTCAAGCTTCTTGGCGTCACCTTCGACAGGCAGCTGGCATTCCGCAGCCATATCCGACAGCTTGCAAGACGCGGAGCCCAGCGGGCTCGGCTTCCTCCGTAAGGCATCGGCTGTGCTAGACCCAAAGCACTGCGCAATCGTGTACCGTGGTTTTGTCCGCCCTGTGTTAGAGTATGGCATGCTGGTGTGGATGAGCGCAGCCCCCACCGCCTTGACCCGCCTCACTGCCATCCAGCACCGTGCCCTGCACATAATTGGAGATGGATCATACCTCCCGAGCCTCGACATTCGCCGTACCGTAGCAGGGCTCTGCTTTCTGTACAAGCTGCACTTTGTGGAGGGTCCGGAAATGGTGAAAGCCATTCTGCCACCATCAGCAGCCGCACCGTAATGCCGCATGTCTACTCGTGAGACAACCGGATCTGCAGCACTTCATCCATCACAACTCACCAGTATCCTTCCTCCTCAGTCACGAAACAACACGCTCCGCTCATTTCCCCACTCCCTCATCGCAACGTGGAATCAGCTCCCACCTACCCTTCTGCAGTCTCCCCCTTCTCGCAGAGGTATGCACACGTTCAAGTAAAATGTCAACGACCACTTGCGGCGCAACAAGTTGGAGTGGGCCACAGACAGGCTATGATCTCTCCATCGCAGCCACCACACCAGCCTAATTAGTAATTATACTGACCGCACTCCAGCTCCCTTCTACCCCTCTTTGATCCCCTTCGCTCAGCCTTAATATCCGATTATCAGTTCTCTCCATCTTCCTACGGTGCACTGCGTTTACCATTGTTTTGTCCTGTCTCAATCTCAAATTCTCCCCATTATCGTTTGCAAAGCCGGTGCTTCCCTCTTGGATGCACATGTTACTTTTCTCCTATGTATCGGCGCACAGGAGTAACGATGATTCCGAGACCTTTGGTTGGAGGAGTTACTTTTGCCCCGCCCCCACTTCCATCCAATATGCCACCGCCCCCGCTGTGCAGCATCTCATGGCTCTGTGGTATTCAGTAAAAATAAAATAAATAAATAAATAAACGTATTGTAGACCAACCGAACCACGGGCTTGCGCTGTTTCATTTCTCTGACCCAACCACCTGTCCAAAATAATTCTCCGCGGCTATTAAGGCTCCTTCGTGCGTGCACGTCTCGAACAGGACGGCCAACTCGTGCAGCTGACGGATGAATCTACAAGTACAAGAAGGAAGAAGGTCTTGTGATCGGAAGATCGTGATGCATCGCCATGATAGCTAGCCACATAAGGTTTGTCGATCGTAGACCATGGTAGACCTACCACGGACTATGCCGCTCTGTAGATGTACATGATTGTGGCAGTACCTCGGTGACCTCACTACTAGGCATTTGCGGGTTCTGCTCGAAAAGCAGTGAAATTGGCAGAACCATGCAAACGTTGGCGGGCAATTCCTCGAATTCTGCTGCATTTCTTTATCCACATACCAAACATGCATGAAACTTACCAGAAAACGTACCGAATTCTGCCAATTTTTCTGCCGGCATTATCCGCATATGCCTACCCACTACAGTCGTGTAGATGATTGCGGTCTTGCCGCGGACGCGCCGGAAATCTAGTCGTAACCATGGTAACCCGGACCATGCAGACTGTGCGCGCTGAAGATCACGTCGTAAGATCTACAAGACAAGTACAAGTACGAACAAATTTTTATACAGTCCTGTCTGCCGGGCCTACACTGTATTGTACACAGTCCGCGCAGTGACCGTGGTGAATGATCCAAGCCCGTATCGTGCATTGTACTACATGACATTGTACATGTACTAGTAACTGGTTTCAGCCCAAGGCCCGTATTGCCAGAAGGAGTGTATTTTTGAGCAGTTGTGGAATTAGGGGATGTCCATTTCATGGGCAACTCAAGAAAGGACTAGTACTAGTAGTAGTAGTAGTCATGTAGAGTAGTTGAACTGTCACACAAATGTACAATCATGTAGGTGAAGTATCCGATCACTTGACTGACTCGCGACTAGACTGCCTTCCAGAGCACACAAGAAGTCCAAGTGCTACTATTAATTCAACTAAACTGATGAGGGGTGAATTCCCCGAAACACTGTGAGCAGGGAGTGGTGATTTCTTGCAGGTTTGCCGAGTCGAAGGTTCGATGGACTTCATGTGCAGGCATGTAGCCAGCCCACAACCGTGTCAATCTCTTCAGATAAAAATAATATCACATACATGTACTGATGTAGTGGTCGGGGTCTGTACAATGGAGCTGTTGGACTTGGAGTTTGTGAGCTTTTATGAGGTTTCATAAAAGCTCACAAACTCCAAGTCCAACATATAGTTTCTAAACGATTGGATAACAGACGCCCAATTTGGAAAAAAATATGCACAAAGTGATCACAGATTTTATGTGGTATAGATGCTGGCATAACGGTTTTTGCCTAGGTACGCGTCTATAATTTTGAAATGGACTGTAGTGTAGGCACATGCATGTACATGTACATGATTGTATGCTCACACGCCAGAACGCAGCGCAGAGGAATGTAAATTGAACGACCCAATTCATTCATAACTACTTCTTGAAGGAGGCTCTCTTACAGGACCGCTGCGGATCTGCACTACTACTAAAGAATCTTAGGTGACAAAGAGCCTAAGACTAGTATAGTACTAGTATTAAAGTTTATTGAAGAGGCTCTGCAAGCATACGTACGTCCGAGGACTCGGCGAGGAGTCGAGGACACAACCTCGAACCTCTGTGAGTAGGATCATCACTACATCGGCTATACCAGCGCAACGTCCAGTGAGTAACGTTGAAGCAAGACTGAGTAGATAGTGTGAGGCCTTAGCCCGGGGACACACGAAACGTCGAAAGGCTGTGACCATGGTGATTAGGCTGATCGAACAAGAGTAGATCTATGTTTTCATCATTATTCTGACATGCACCAATACAACGATTGTAAGCGCATATCGACGGAACATGAACAAGACTGGTTTGATTGCATTTCTGATGGCGAGCACGGTGCACACACTTCTCTCTTCGTATCGCGCTGGCGCGCGCAGGACTCAACCATCTCGAGAGAAAAAAGTAAAGCCATCTACAGTAGATTATGCTAGATCCACGCGCGTTATCGAGCCAAAAATTCGACCTTCTGATGCTCCATAGATCTACCTCCTGTTCTGATAGTCGCGGACTCGAAAGCCCAGCTGAGTGGTCGTGATGGGAGCTACCAAAGGCAAGCCCACTGCCACTGGAGATTTCCGACGAACCGTGTGATCCAGTTAGAGGAATTGTGAAATGTGGAACTTAAACGGTCGATGTAGTCTCGAGCACACTTCCACACTGTGGATCGATCCTTGGCTTGGTGCGCAACCAGAACGTTATCATACGGACCTTGAAAGCTCTAGGATGACACGAGCCACTTGATGAAGGAAGGGCACTTGCCGATTGGACTGAATTTACTGTGAGCTGATCGTGATAAAACATAGTTTCGACAGGAGCTCTGGGCAGTGTGGTGCACAACTCTATCCCAAAATTTGCTCAGCGCGAAAGGAGCCTTTCTTCAGGTCCTACAGTATCTACATGTAGTTTATCAAAGACTAAGTAGTGATAGAACTGATACTGGCGCTCCACCGCTCAGTTGAGTGTTCCAGATACGACAAAGGTCCCGTGCACATGAGTAACATTTTAGCTGGAGGCAAACTCGTCTCCTGGGCAAGTAAAGTTGACTACCGAGCATGTAGCACACGCTCGGTCGTAGGCGGTTCCAAAGCTAGTATAGCGAGGCACGTCTAAATCGTGTGTCTCCTCAGACTCAGGCGAGAAAGTACGGTGATTGACCGAGCGGGCTTGAACCAGGAGACAGGTGGTTGTGTGTTTCACCATCGACTTCGTCGCCAGGTGACCTTGACCTTCCTCGGCTCCACGCGATACCACAATGGCGAGTGGTCACCATCACTTCCTTCTCAGCGTAATTGTCACGCTGGCCAAGACATTTGCCACTGCAACTCTAGACCTACCTCCCAACCTATTTTCGGAAACGCTACCTAAGCAACCTCCCCATTTACCTACACATCGTAGCAGCGACTCTGGTGGGACAGGAAAGCGCGGTCAAGCAAAGCGAATGTAAGTCACTTCTTTTGGAGGGATTTGAAGTGGATGTAGAATTAAAGGGTTTGATGCTGGTTTTTGCTGAGCAGATTGTCCGCCGACAAGTAATTCATTCTGGTACTCACAGAATCGATTTTGGTATGCTATATCATCAAAAGGTTTTGACAGTTTTACAAAACAGTGAAATGCGTGAATGTAGAAAGGAGTATTTACAACTAAAAAGAGTGGTGTTGTTTGTGAAGGGACCTGTTGAGATATGATCAGCTGTAGCACATACTCCACTTTTACGTTAATGTATCTATGTCATTCGGATCTTCCCAACTTGTACAATGTACTGTTGAGATACCGAATAAAAAATAAATCAATACAATACAAAATAGATTGGCGAGTGCAGGTATTGTTTCTGAGAGACTACTACTATTGTAGTGGACCAAGTGTTTGAAGTCCGGATATGGTATCCTAAGTCCGTACACCCATAATTTCAGGTTCTGTTATTGTATTTTTAAACATTGCGACAGAGCTTTCGGCCATATTCTCAATTCATTGCATTCCCAACTCATCACAACAACGCGCTCTTCGGCCGAACCATACAGACACAGCAAGGACACTTCCTTTGAGAGATAATATTGCTCCACGCCTCTAGACAGCTGTTTCGCTCCCTGTCGGAGCTCATCAGTAGAGGATGATAATGATGATAATGGAGGAATGATCATTCTTATACACCAGAAATGGCGCAAGTGCGCGCTTTCCACATATATCAATGGCATATGCAAGCTGCTAAAATGGTAAAGTGTGAGAACAGCGATAAATAATCATAGTACTCGCTCATTGGTGGAGAAACACACCACACAGGCGACGAAAATCTTACGCGGAATACTGATGCCAATGGAAAGTACATGTATGTTGTTTATTATTATGATGTTGCAATGTCCATGTATGCAGGCGAGGCGAGACTCACCGCCGAGATCCCCCAACGCGACAGGCTCGGTTGCCGTACAGGATTCACATACAGTATGTGTGTTTTTCGAGTCACCTCTGAACTGTACGGACTTAGAGCACCCTCTGCGACACCAAAATTTGATATGAAAAATCAGCGAACTCCAGAGAAACAGATCGGATCGAAAGATGGCCTAGTTCAATCGAGCCTGGCCTCAAAACAAACTTGAAAAAGATACCTTCCATCCACGAGCAGGATTCTGGCAAGTGATCATTGCTAGTATGAGTTTCAGCTCGGCAAACACACACTGTAAAAGTGTCCGGACTTCGAGCAACAAAATGGCACAAAACTGACAAGGAGTACTGAGACATTCCAAGTTGGAAGGTTGTTGGTTTGCGCCTTGGAGAAGTGTTGGAGCTAGTTTTCAGTTGTCAGGTCGCCGAATGTGTCAGTACTCCTTGTCATTTTTGTGCCATATTGTCGCACTCGCTGGCTGTATATGCTCTGGTTATGTTGGTGGACAGTTAGTCATAACTGGTAACATTTTGTCCTCCTTTTTTTAACATGTGTGTGCAGTTGCCCCTGTTCAGAGACTTTGGCTTGCAAGCGGCAAACATTCAATTTGCACGGGGACGAAATTAACTCCAGTCTTTGTCTCGAGAGGCTATCCGAGAGCCTGCTGCAAGAGGAGCGCGAGCTGTGTAAGCACATGCACTGTATGAGAATGTGCAGGTAGAGCAGTCCAGATTATGGAACCACGGGTACTGTAATTGCAGAGAGTTAAGGTGCTCAAAATTGCAAAAAGGCCATGTTAGGTGAACAGAAATTTGTAGGTACAGAGAAGCAGTTCGCTTTTGGATTATATGCGTTAGTGTTTGTTCGGTGTATTGACATTGTAGGCAGGAAACGGAAGCACCGAAAGTACTGAAAATAAAAGCACACTGAATATTTGTGAAATCACAGTACTTGAACGTCTCTGATGTTTGTCAACAGTGGCTCGGTTCTGCAGCTTCCCTACGGGCATAAGTTTGGAAGGAGACACTAATGCCCTGTTTGACTTCCACCTCGTACTTTAAAAGTAACAGTCGCTACCAGCAACAAACCGCAATTGGCATCACCTGTACAAATTCCACCAAGGTACACAATTCTAATCTGATTTGTTTGACCTCTGCAATACAATAAGGATCTATGTGATATACTTGGATAGATTTTTAAACTGCATTGGTACAAGTGTTCATTGTCACATCACGCGACCATCATTGCTTTCAGATGCTTTGTATGATTTTTATTGTTGTACCAGATTGTTTTTAGGTTAGGAATACTCATATTTCAGAAATTTTAGGTGCTCAGTATTTTCGGTATGAGGGCAAAACGCCAGGTCAGTCGAACAGAAATTTTAGGTACAGAGAAGCAGCTTCCTATTGGATTACGTGTGTTAGCGTTTGTTTGGTGTATTGAAAATTTAGGTATGAAACAGAGTAACAGACGCACCGAAAGTACCGAAAATAAAAGTACACAGAAAATTTGTGAAATTACAGTACTCTGCAAATGCTGCATTATGGTGATCTTCTCAGTGTGCTTGTGTTTGCAGATTACAACCGAACAGCCAATTGTGTTAGCAAAGCAGCTTGGCCCAAGTCCATGTTTACAGGAGACGGCAGCCAGCCTGCGATCCAGGCAGGATCCTGCTTGTCCTGGCCAACCAGCACATCCGTGTCAGTGGTAGTCGCCGAGCCCACGGCAAGAGATGCCATGCAAAGCCTGCTCAGCAGCGTGCAGTTCCACGTGCATCGCCTACTGGAAATAGCAGGGGTGGACTCTGACAGCTTCGGCTTGGCGTACTCAGCATGGGGCATCTCTGAAGACCACAGTCAGCTGCTGCCGCATGCAGAAGATCCTATACTTGTGTCGGGCGACGCTAATGGAGTTATGCAACAAGCTCTCCTGGACAAGGTGGAAAGCGCCGACGAATCGTATCTGGGCCAGGCAGTCGCCGCGATCGACAGGAGTCAGGACAGCGGTATTATGACACATCAGGTGGACGTCGATTTCACCACAGTAACCGATTTGATTCTTGGCCGAGAGCGCGAGCTCAGCCCGCAGCGCAAGTGCATCATCCTAGCAGTGGTGCCCAGTAGCGGTTACTTCATCTTTCCCGCCAAGGGTGAGTTCCGGCCCAATCCGAACTACCACAAGGAGCTCCTTCAGGCGTGGAACTGCACCCTGCATGCCATTATGCCACTGTACGAGTACACCGATCTGGAGCCTGGACACTGGGGCGTGGGCTACGGCAGGGAGCGCTATCTCTCCGTTGACCCGGATGCACCACCGGCCACTCCCTACTGGAAAAGCATGGACGAGTCGCTGAGACAGTCGATACTGAACGCGACCGGTGACTTGGGCAAAGCGGTGTTCGACACAGGGGGCATGATATTCAGGTCGCAGCTCCCCGAAACCGAACTCCTATCACCGAGCAGCGGTAAAGAGCACCCATCACGCATCTGGTTCGTCATCGCCGAAACCCTAGCCCGCCTGATCATAGGTGAAACACCAAACGAACTTCTGGAGAGCCAATGTCGGTGTAGTGATCAGCGCCTAGATCCCGTCCTGCTCACGGATCATCCGCCAAGCCATCCATGGAAGCCACCTTCCCCGTTTGCAAGGTGGCACATCCTCCCGATCCAGGATAGAGGATGTTCTGAATTTTGCGAAGGCAAGTAGAAATGCTTTTTGCAAGCAAAAAATGTCCCTTGTACATGATACCTTTCTGGTAGTGGTTTAATTAAACACTTACACATAGCTTCTAATTCATTATCCTGGTGCCATTCAACAGACATGGATGTGATATGGGCCACAACCAGCTAAAACGTGTTTTCCAGTGAAATTTTTCAAATTTCGTTTTCCTCCAGAAAACAGTTTTTGGGACCTTACTTGACCTCTTGAAGGTGGTAGAGTGCACTAAAGTAGTCTAAAAGTGCCCCAAAACACCTCTTTCAAATCGTATACTTTGAAATAGAAGATCACAGTTTTCGCACCTACTTAGTGGCTTTCACGGAGGAGCACAATACAAAGGAACAAAGATGATGACACAAACTTCAGCATGCCAACGACATCAGTTCCAAGTCATGGACTAAGACTTAGTTCTTCCTGGAAAGCACCACGGTGCTCTGGGCGACGTTGCACTCTGTCGATTCTGACGGTGACACCTTTTAATTGTCACCTGCGCTTCCGAGACTGCGCCAGACAACTCATGAGAGCTGAACTGCATGTACCGTCGTAAGGCAGTATGTCGCCTAATGTAGTCACCCACAACTAACTGCAACTTGTGCCTTTTTGCTACTGGGCACGACGGGGACGATTCAGCTTTGCTGTCATCATCAACATCACTGAGATCCCAAAAATAATCAGAGTCGCTCTACAGACCCGCTGCCACGGACTTGCTGACACCTGACCAACCTGCGCCATGCACAGCGATCGTCTGGCTCTGCGAGCTGCACTAGTGTCACTAGATACGAACATAGTCAGTCTTCGCTCGCCAGCTACTTGAACTAGACCTCCAAACGAGTGTTCAGAAGATGATTGCCACCTGTTCATGAATGGAGCGCAGTGTGAACGCACTCGATCAAACATTTTTTCATTCCGTCTTTTCTCAACTTTTGTACAAAATCCCAAAGATATGTTTTAGCTGATCGCGGCCTATATTATTATTGATCGTGGCAGCACAATGGTCAAGCTGCCGTTCTGTGCATGGGTGGTTGTGTGTGTGTGTGTGTGTGTGTGTGTGTGTGTGTATGTGTGTGTGTGTGTGTGTGAAGGTGTGAAGGTCTTTGTACATGTATGTCTGTATGTTTGTATGTATTTATGTACATGTAAACTCAGATTGTGTATGTACATGTATGTATGTGAGTGTGTGTGTGTGTGTGTGTGTGTGTGTGTGTGTGTGTGTGTGTGTGTGTGTGTGTGTGTGTGTGTGTACGTGCCCTAGCATGTTCGACGGTGATTCCGCCTGCAAATTCTTTGTTTTTTCTGTGTTTTTTTTGCGTACACTTTACAGGCCAGCCATCGGACGGTGCCGTAACAATCCGCAATAGTAACTATAAGTTCATATTCTATTCTTCCTGCCATCGTGAATCATCGGGTAGTTATCGAGTGTTGAGGAATGGTCGTAAGTACTGCCGAACACCACTGTACTGAGAGCAAACTGTACTTCTTGTGCCACATGTGTACTTGTTGAGGGTACTGGATTTCAATACTTATAATTCTACCGTACTGGCAATATATATGGTCGCAGTGAGGCCATGAAGCGTTACATTGGCACATGTTTACCGCACGCAGGGCGTTACATGCAAAGTCGCACAGGAGCCGTTACACAGGTTTCTATATTGCCACAGTCCTTTTTTTGCCACGCGGTACACGTGCTTTCACAGTTTTCAGCCTTTGCAGTGCAAACTGCAATGAAAAGATCGCCGCACCCCGCCGGACGCGCGTTACGAACGCAACGAAAATTTGTCATGGTGCGCTGGATAGCGCTAAGGCCGACACCCTAGGTCGGCGTTGCTAGTCCCGCCTCCCCGGAACAGGCTCCCTGAGAGCCCCAACGAGAGAGCTTGGAAGCTCAGGGCCCTACGCTATGCTTTTTTGCCTTGATGACCTAGGCAAAAAAAGCATAGGGATGTTATACATTTTTCATTTCTCCTATTTTTTTCAAGACATAACCTGGGATTCGAACCCACACTATCGCCCTGCATGCATTCCCCGATACACTTCGCGTACATACTAATTCTTCCAAGTTGCTTCATGTTATGATCTTGCATATGAAAGCCCTATTTGAATATTGTGGCCAACTGTTTGTGGCCAGCCGTCTTTGATGGTACGGTACGGTACGGGACAGGTACGGTCGAGGGTAATACAACAACGTCTACCCCCTTGATGACCTAGGCAAAAAAAGCAGAGGGATGTTATAAATTTTTCAATTCTCCTTTTTTTTTCAAGGCATATCCTGGGATTCGAACCCGCACAATCGCCCTACATGTATAATTACCCTATACACTTCGCATTCATACTCATTCTTCCAAGTTGCTTCACGTTATGATCTTGCATTTGCATATACAAGTGTGAGGTCACATCAGTGCTCCATACCATATGAGCTCATTCTACTCCGCATTGTCCGATGTTGCGGAACAGGCCAGATCTACTCACGTGGTGTGGGTCAGCAGTCATTGTGGCATCAAGGGCAACGACAGGGCAGATCATCTTGCCAAGCTGGGGTGCGATGGTGATCAAGGTAACATCGACCTGCCTGTTCAAGCAGCCAAGTCATTCATCGGCAATGCCACTGCCTAACCGAGACCACTCCTTAAGATCAAGAAGCTTGGGCCAGACAACACTGGGCGCAAAACAACGTCTACGCTTAAGACACAGCAGTCTACTTAACGAGTACCTCCATCGAATCTCGGCACGACCCTCACTAGACTGCGAGTCGTGTGTAGGGACTGCTGAGAACGCTGACCACCTACTGCTCAAATGGCCGTCCCGGAAGACTAGCAGAGATCTCTCGAATTTAGCTGCGTTTGCAGCTGTACGAGAAGCCATCCTGACCGAGCCATCACAGGTCGTTCAGTTCCTGCAATTGGAAGGACTGCTCTAAGTCCTTGCCAAGACTTTATACTAGTAATCAGCAAATGGATTGGACACAAACTATTTGAAGCTTAGCTCCCATACAGGCCTCTAGTATTTATTTTATTTATTTTACTTCTGGCACCTTTCTACTGTTTCGGTTGAGCAACAATCAGATATTTATCGTCCTTTCAATTGTCTCTATTTCTAGCATCTTTGTTTTGATACCGTTGCAGAAGAAGAAGAATAATAATAATAATAATAATATTGTGGCCAGCTGTTTCTGGCCAGCTGTCTTTGATGGTACAGTACGGTACGGGACAGATACGGGATAACGCCAGGCGTGACACACACAAAGAAACAAACACCAAATTAAAGCTGTGTGGACCCTGGCTAACGCCAGACGTTACTGAAGTAACGTCTTCTGCATAGCTACGGGAACTAGTACAATTATCTGTCTTTCTCCTTTGTTGTCTAGATCATTATTTTCTTTTGTCTTCTTCCTCGTCTCTCTTTGTTATGGTTTATCAGTAGGAGGTGCATTCTGTAAAAAAAAAAGTTAAGTCGGCGGAATAGAGAGAGCTCCTGCATGGGGGCAAACACTTTACTAAACGTCAATCATCGCCGAAGTCGCTACTAGTGCTACCATTTCGTGCTAGTGCAGTGTCTGCTCTAGGAATTTGAACTAACGGGTACACGTGTACCTGGTACAACTCTTGCAACCGGGTCAGGGTCAGGTATGTTCAAGTGCAGCTACTGTACAGCAGGGACTCGTGATAATAATTATGTTAAAACTCCCTGGTTGAGTCCCAACCGCGTCACACTTGACACGGTGTTCTTTTTCCAAACGGGTCCTAGTACCCCAACCAGGTCGCTGACCCAGGTGACCCGGTTCTGTAGCAGATGCTGTAATATTACCCGTCGTGAGCTCAGCCAAATCAGAAAACGGTGATCACCGTGCTTTTGGCCGTAAATTGGCCGACGGTTGACTTTCAGACGCGTTTTTGCCACGCAGTATCCTAAAAGAACTGTCAAATTGTCAATAACGAACATGTTGTATAGACCACAACAGCTACTAAGAAGGTACAACATAGGTAGAGCTGTGAGAAAAATCATGTTCATGCATGACTAAATGGCGAGGAGACAATAATTTGATAACCGCAATCAATAAAATTAGCCGAACCGAAATTAATTTTGTGTATTTTATGCAATGTTATTTCTCTAACTTAGATTTTCTATAATAGTTCAATTTTATTTCAGTGTCCTTTAGTACAACGACGATTCCTGATGAGTGTTGTACGAAAACTTGTTTGAATCCATATTTTTTTCTCTACACCATTACTACTTACCACAAGTTACCCGTCATGTGTCACACTTCTTTGGATTTTTAACCTTTGTTTTTTCCTTGATCTCTTTAGTTCCGTATTTCCACTGATGATCGGAGCGTGAAAATCGATTTTGGAAACACACAAAACCAAACCTTGAACAAATTGTCATGTTGCGTGGTGATGTCTGCGGCATTCATACTTTTCATAGCTATTATTAAACTTTTATCTCCACGTAGATTATTTCTACACCATTTCTTCATATTTTCATCATTTTATTGCACATCGACTCCTCCGTTTTTACATTGCGTGAACAAAGTACACAAATGTCGGTTCAGTTAAATTTTATTGATTGCGATTATCATGCATGAATGATATCTTTTAAGTAAATATGTTCCCGTGTACCCTAGTCTACTGCAGGACTCGTAATGTTAACCAACCTTTACTTCTAACGATTTTTCGTTTAATATGTAGAAAACGATACGTACATGTACAGTTATTTGCCGGTTTTGGCGGACAGAATTTGTTAGAATTTCACCTCGCTAGCCCACAAAAATCCGGAGATCGTTGACGTTATACTCTCTGGTCTTACAGTATTCATAATGTCGTTCGCAGTGCATGCACCCGATGTTCTGTTGTAGCATTACATCGACTTTGTGAGAGTTCTTCTATTCTAGTCTTTTTGGTGTCAGCCAAGTTCAATGGTTGAGTCTATTTAGTGCGGCTACTTGTGGAAGGATATTCTACTTCTGTGTCTGTGTTTCTTCAGCTCCGTTCGTGCTGGGATGGGATTGTCCACTCGTTGACCCTTCCACCATAACCTACAACCAACCTCGGCGCGTCGCCGACGTAGTAGTGATCATTGTGGAGGAGGCACCGTCGCTGCGAAACGTGCACCGCAAGATAGCCGGACTGGTGATGGAGATTGAGAGGAGCCTACGGCAGCGTGGCTTCGGTGCGGATCAGTCGCGGAATCTCTACACTATTGTCGGCATGGGTTCCAGCGAGGGCGTTCATGGACGGTTTCTGCTCTCCTCGTGTTCGGCGGCATATCTGTACCCCGCCGAGTGCGTAGCGAGTGCAGCACGCCAGTTGATACACCGTACCGAGAGCCAGAGAGGCTATAATCCACGGTTAGACACGCTTGCCACCCTGTCATTCGCCATCGCTAACACTCCATGGCGACGGAATGCTGTGCGAAACATTCTGCTCGTTATGGATCGCAAATGGGAATGCTCTCGGATCTTGGAACCGTCCGACGTCGAGATGATGCTTAAGTGCTACGAAATCGCTTTGCACTCGGTCATTTACAACCGATTTACCAGCCTGGGTCAGGAAACGTTTGGGACGGATCACCGCCTGTTCAAATATACGTTTGCGAGCAATCTAACGATGATCGGAAAGGATCCGGTGGACGTCCGCGGTGGCCTGAGCGGCACTTTCACCAATATCGGTGTGCTGGCCCTGGGCTCGAAAGGTTCGGCCTGGAGTATCGAACAGTTTACCAACGACTACCCGGGATTCCTAGCGTACATGCCCATAGTTCTCGCTCAGCTTGCGGAGGAAAGATACCATCGGGTTCTGCCGTGCACTTGCAGCGTGCCTGATGAAGTCTACCCGTCCAATCCTTATCATTTGATCTTCCATTGCTTCCCGTGCAACGAGACAAAGTGCAAAGAAGTTCAGGAAGAGGAAAACGCGAGAATGGTAAGAGCAGTTGTGGATAGTGTAAAGACCAACAAAAAAGCTTTTCAGGTGTGCAAGAAAGGACTCAGATGGAGAGCCAAGTCTAAATTTATAGTAAAGAAAAAAAGGACCAAGAAACTACAAGTTACGCTATAATGTCCACTAACACCACCAGTTACTAAACAATCAGCTCATGCAAATAACATTGCAGCGCACTGACCCACGGTACTGGCGTTCTACAACTACCCGGTGCTAGTGGACATTATAGCGTAACACGTAGTTTCTTGGTCCTTTTTTCTTTACTATGAAAAAGCTTTAACCTGTGATTATGATTGTTCCTATACGCCTTGTTGTACTGATAGTACATTTCCTTCGGTGGTCTCATGTCGCAAATCACTCTAGGCAGTATAATGGTTTTGGGCGTCTCCAGTATGCAGTGAGTTCATGAAGAAGCTTGAGGTTTCTCAAATGCACATTCACACCTCCTCAAATGAACTTATCAAGCTCACTTTTAGAAGCACTCGTGTCATTCAGCGTACATAATGGGCTGAACGCTCTCACGTAAACACACGCACGCAGGTTTGGCAGACTGCCTCTTGCACACAGTTTGAAGTATACCGTTGCTACGCTCACACCTTCTCCTTAGTTTATACAGTTCAGTTCTATGTTCAGTCCACGTTTTCACTTTGTCACCCTACATCATTTTACCAATCTTTTATTTTAAGTTAATAACATGTACTGTTTAGCATAAACGGTTCACATTCTCTGCATTCAGAAACTGTCACAACCTTTTCAATCGTTTTTGTTCATCTCACACTTTTTCCGACTGCTCTGATGGATTTTGGTGTGTTTAGGTGGCCAAGCGGAGTGAAGAAGAAGCGGAAGAGGCTGAGTCGTATCTCAATGAAACTGGTACGAGTTCCGGGCACTGCTGTAACTTACAATCAATTATATTTTTGCAATCGAATAATATTCATAAACTGAGAAATGGAAAGTGTATAGTCATCAAACGTTCGTAAATGCCATCGATCTGGGGCTACTATGTGTATGCATACAGTACGGTACAGTGAATGTGACACATTTTTAGTAAGCGTTTTAATATACAAAATTTCCGCAATTAAACGAATACGAAATATAATTGATTTGCAGTAGCTGCAGTGATGATCCATGTAATTTCAGTCTCTCCATATCTCGATAAAGGCTACTTTAAGTCTCCAAATTTTTGGCCCATTCAAATTTCGGCCTCCCAGGGCTAAAACCCATTTTTACAGCATCAAAGTTTCGGCCTGTCCTGCTGCCGCCTGTATACACTATCACACAAAACCTTGCACAACAAAATTTCAGCTGCAACGAATTTTCATCCAAACATGACAAGGCCGAAAATAGCCGATAAAAGCCGATAATAGGGAGGTTTCGCTCTACGCAATCACGTATGAAAATAACGCAGGAACTGCACGGAATTTTCATACGTGAAAATCAGAGCTGTTGGGTTTCGCTCTACGTGATTTCTCCACGACTGCTAAACATGCTGTTCAGAAGACAGTATGCAGTGGTGTGCGTTCTGTGTGTTTTCTGTGCGATCTTTGTGCGATCTGTGTGCGCTCTGTTCTCTTGTGTATTCCCTGTGCGATCTGTGTGTTCTTCATGTACTGTGCAGAAGACTCCAGATATTGTAGAATTTACGAGTGTCACTATTATTTATCTACTGTGTTTATTCTATATTTTGTTAATCCTTCGTTCTTCCGAGAGCACAGTCAAAGCGTTTACTAGGAGTTAGTTACTAGTACATCACTGATTGTTACAAGCAGTTTACAGAGGTTACAAAACAGCTGGTGTTGTTTCTAAGTTGATTATCTCGAATTTGAATTGTTACTTATCTTTGCATTCCTTCAGAAAGTCCGTTCTGCAGCTCTAGTCCGTCCTAGTGTAGGTTCTGCTCTGACAAGGCTTGCCTTCACCCTGTGGGTGCTAACACTCTCTGACAGGACATGGTTGAAATTGCTTTGAGTTCCTATCAGCACAGATCTTCGTTTTCCTTGTTCTTTGAACTTCCTTTGACTTCTACTTTCGAATTTCACTGTTTGTATTACGGAGGATTAGCAAGACGAAATTCGCGTTCGCGTTCGCAAACATTTTTCAGTTTGCGAACTGCATTGCGAACTTTCGCATTTTTCGTTCGGAAAAGTAGTCGGAACACGAATCGCGGATTCGTGTCAGGGCAGTCATAAATTTACCACGCTGTACTGTCTGTAGACAATGTACGTCGTGTCAACATCATGCATGTGCGAATTCTGTTTGCTAATCCTTCTCATAACGCGAATTCCGTCACTGAGTTCGACTTTCCTTGGAGAGCGAACGGGAACGCGAATTTCGTCTTGCTAATCCTCCGTATTATTTTCTGACTTTTCTTGATTTTTTGTCCACTGCGTGCCAGTACAGTACAGCTTGTGTATCGTCATGGCAGCGTGACATCATTGTTTTTCTCATATGCATGCACGTGATCTACGCATTTCTTCTTTGGAGCGCTGTGTGCCACGTAGCTTTGCGTGCGCCAGTGCAGTGTCTTCGTTGTTGGGAATGAGAGTTCTTGAGAAGACGAGCAAGTAAGTTGTCGTTTCGCTTTCTGATGTGCGGTGGAAAGCGTCTCCACGCGTACACATGCGTTGTTGCTTTGGAGACACGTTGGCTGCATGAGCCCACCGCATGCACCATGAACCGAAACCGCGTTTTCCATTTTATTTTGCGCGTGGTGTACGGTATGTGTACCTTGTGTTTCGCGCGGCTTGAACGTTGCCATGGACAAATGCGGAAATGCGGAAAAAATATTTCAAAAAGTCCTACGGAGGACCCAACGTAAGAAAGAGGTTTCCTACGCGAATCCGTAGAGAGATTTACGTATGAAAGTTGCCCTCGCTCCCTGGCGTGTACGAAATACGGATTTTCATACGTAATAACGTAGAGCGAAACCTCCCTAATAAATAATATGCTCCCACCGTTCAGGCCTGCGCCTTCGATCCTAGAGGGTAGTGGCGTTCCCATGGCGGATTCGGAAAACTGAGTCTCACGCGAACCGTGAAATTTAATTTAATTTTTTAAATATGCGCCGAATATTTATTGACTTCCAGGATTGGTTTTCACAAGAGGTCAGCCACAAATAGACTTTCCGAAGCAAATGTGCCATGAAAAGAGACCTCAATAGCCACAGACAGGCTGGATAACCTAGCGCTTGTGTATGTGTCTGTGTGTGTGTGTGTTTGTGTGTGTAGCGTGTAGTGTGTAGTGTGTAGTGTGTGTGTGAGTGTGTGTGTGAGTGTGTGTGTATGTGTGTGTGTGTGTGTGTGTGTGTGTGTGTGTGTGTGTGTGTGCGTGTGTGTGCATGTGTGTGTGTGTGTGTGTGTGTGTACGTTTGTACGCTAGATTAACTCTTGTGCAATCAATGGTGCTAGTGACGCTTAGATCAGATCCACTCTGTTTTAGCCACCCACACTAGCAGCGAGTATTACCTTCACTGGGGGCAGGGCTAGCTGAAGTTGGATTCCAGAACGGATACCCTGATGCCGTCAATCCTTTTTCTGCTCCTAGTCCTCACTCACTTACTGAGGTGTGGTGAGCCCATAAGTGGGATCATTTTCAAGTTCACCCAGAGTTTCGGGGATTTCAGGGGGTGTCGGCCGTTGGGCGGTTCAATAGCCAATTGAGTCATCTTTCCAAGATTCCTTTTGAGTCGTTCTCCCCTCTCCCGGGGAGACTCACGTGACCAATTCTGGCAGTGAGCAACGAGTACAAGTACGTGTGTACGTGTATGTGTGAGTGTGTGTGTGTGTGTGGGGGGGGGGGGGTAAGTGTTAACGTCCCGTTCAGTCTAACTGATTTTTTTCAACATTTGCTCATATGGAATGCTTTGGTATATTTTGTGCATCATCTCAGGCTGCCGTGACTACTCGGCTCAAACATTGAACGGTTCTTGTGCACTCGCCACTGCCAATATACTGTTTCTTGTGGATTTGGGTGAAGAGAATTACCGTTTGCTACAAATGTTGCCTGGATTTGCTGTCGAGCTGGAAGAGAGGTTCGTCGCCAGCGGTGTGGGCCAGGCTCCGTCCTCACCGAGCGCAAGGAGAAACCTTTACAGCGTGTTTGGATTTGATGCCTCCGGACTGGTCTCGTCGAGTGTTCACTCTACGGCCGGATCGGCAACGGCCGTGCCCATAGAACGTGTTGCGGAAGCTGTCGGCTCGCTACCATTTCCGTCGCTTCACGAGGGCAATGGCGTCTCGGCCCTGATACACCTGTCCGAGAAGATTAAAGCACTGCGCTCCGGTCGATACGACACTGTCGTGTTTCTATCAGCAAATACTAATAAACCTGCTGGCTGCATCTTGGCGTACATCATACCCGACACGTTTATATGCCGTTCAGTTTCCTACCACTTTCTTCTGCCATTTGACATCACACAGCATGAAAGCAGCCAAGGCACACAGATATACGGTGTTGATCCGAGTGAGGCCGGCTTTAACTCATGCATGCGCAATAAAGTTGTACCCGGCGCAACGGTCTCGACATCGTCCGAAAGCAGATACTGGGATGTACCATCGTGGTTCTGGGCTCACCGATGGACTATCAGTGATTTGGCAGCCAGCTCCCGGAAAGTGGCCCATATGACGAGTGCCATTGCCAAAGGCATTGCGCAACAAACGCAGAGTGCCGGCAAGAAGCAGGCTTCTGGTCACCAGTGTGCGCTCGACGACGGAATCATCGTCTGCAGAGATTACTTTGGACCTCATGAGCAGGTACTGATGATAAGAGTGGCTTCTCTATGCGACGTATTTTGCATGAAAGTCAAAGGCATTTGATGCAACTTGCAATGAATTGTTCTGGCTTCTGTCTTAGAAAATCTCTGCCCCATGTAGTTGAGCACTTGTATGGGCAGTCAACGTCTTGGTATGTGAGCACTATGTGAGCAGGGAAAGTCTAGGTATTCAGCACAGTGTGAGCATTGAAAGTCTAGGTACTACAGGTTTGAGCACGGTGTGAGCAGTGACACTTTGGATATTTGTACACTGTGTGAGCAGTGCAACTTTGGATATTTGTACACTATGTGAGCAGTGCAACTTTGGATATTAATTTGTACACTATTTGAGCAGTGCAACTTGGATACGTGAGCAGTGAAAGTCGCCTCATGTGTGTCGTATTTGACACAACTCAGGTCCCCATAGGAGAGCATCAGGTCTCCCTCCCTCACCCCCCCCCCCAAAAAAAATCAAAAAACAACTAATAATTTATCACCAGACTGACGATATACCGTACTGGCAATATATGTTGCCGCGTAACGCGTAACGCAGGGGGGGGGGGGGGTGCGGCGTAACGCACGACCAGGCTAGTGCGACAATTTTCGTTGAGTTCGTAACGCGCGTCCGGCGGGGTGCGGCGATCTTTTCATTGCAGTTTGCAAAAAATGATGCGGCAATAGCAAAAAAATGATGCAGCAATAGCAAAAAAGTGATGCGGCAATAGCAAAAAAAGGACTGCGGCAATATAGAAACCTGTGTAACGGCTCCTGTGCGACTTTGCATGTAACGCCCTGCGTGCGGCAAACATGTGCCAATGTAACGCTTCATAGCCTCCCTGCGGCAACATATATTGCCAGTACGGTAGTCACTTTGCTGCTAACAAGACGTATGTGCTAGTAAACTGATCCTCCATCAATGCCAAACTATTCGGGTTCTGATGAGCCCGCAGCAGATAAGTACAGTTTAGTTTGTCATTGCATTGTACAGTGCTGGCCAGAGAAAACCAGCCTCATGAATGAACGGTAGTGCTGCGTTCGAGTGTACGGACCAGTACGTGCAGGGCTAGGGCTGCGTAGCGCCCGGCGACGCTATTTTATTCATGGGGTTGGATTCCTTTGGCCAGCACTGTGGTATTAGCTACTTTGAAGTACATCAGGCCTGTACTGGCGTGACAGAAGGCTGTTTGCTGTTCCGTGATCTCGTTCCGTGATGATTTGTTTACTGAACGGGTTTTGTATTTTTTTCCCCAATCCTGATTCACTTTGTCCAGTGCTTATGGAAACCCGAACCAACAACATCACCGTCGACATTTCCGACAACATCAACAACTGAAGCAGAAGCACAAGCAGCTATGACGACCAAGCCCCCGGTCACCCAGGCGGCAGAATCCGTTATAATTACCACAAGCGCCACGACCGAAACCCAAGCGTCGTCTTCCGATTTTCAGACATCTGGTGCGACGCCAAGCAGAACGCCATCACCTGTGGAAGGACCTTCAGGTATCTGATCATTAATAAGCAGGGGCGTCGCTAGATATTTTAGTGTGATACGGTTAGCCATTTGAAGTACAATTTGCTCGTCGGGGAGTGGGTGTCTGACTATACTGACACCTTGAACCTTGAAAACAAATTGGCCCGGGAATATTCGAAAATATGTATGCGCCGAATATTTTTTATTATTTGATGAATTACAGTAGAATGAAGTTGAAGACACCACTGCAGCTGTACTTATGGTTGATAAATATGGTGGTAAAGACACACCTGGCAATATGGCGGTAAACACACGCCTGCCCACACACGCTCTCTAGGCTGCAAAGTTCTGGCATAGAGCTCTCCTTCTCACCACCACCACCATCAGTTCGCGCCTGGCGCCTGGTCGATGCATGGCTGGCGGTATCCGGCATAGCAGGCTGGTACATCAAGTAGCGCATGGCACATAGATGATGACACAGCAACGACATAGCTCGATTGCGACGTACGTTTCGTCCCCGCTGGACTCATCAGGCAATCTTCTTCTTGGATGTCTTCATACGGAGCTTGACTCGGGAGAATGAAGTTGAAGACACCACTGCAGCTGTACTTATGGTTGATAAATATGGTGGTAAAGACACACCTGGCAATATGCTATGCCGGATACCGCCAGCCATGCATCGACCAGGCGCCAGGCGCGAACTGATGGTGGTGGTGGTGAGAAGGAGAGCTCTATGCCAGAACTTTGCAGCCTAGAGAGCGTGTGTGGGCAGGCGTGTGTTTACCGCCATATTGCCAGGTGTGTCTTTACCACCATATTTATCAACCATAAGTACAGCTGCAGTGGTGTCTTCAACTTCATTCTCCCGAGTCAAGCTCCGTATGAAGACATCCAAGAAGAAGATTGCCTGATGAGTCCAGCGGGGACGAAACGTACGTCGCAATCGAGCTATGTCGTTGCTGTGTCATCATCTATGTGCCATGCGCTACTTGATGTACCAGCCTGCTATGCCGGATACCGCCAGCCATGCATCGACCAGGCGCCAGGCGCGAACTGATGGTGGTGGTGGTGAGAAGGAGAGCTCTATGCCAGAACTTTGCAGCCTAGAGAGCGTGTGTGGGCAGGCGTGTGTTTACCGCCATATTGCCAGGTGTGTCTTTACCACCATATTTATCAACCATGAATTACAGTACTGGCAAAGTGTGCGTCTTATATTAGAATGTATCAGGGTGAATTCCACTGTATGTACGATTCTTGCCATTTTCCTCACGCAGATGATTCTCAGCTATTCGTGATCATACCAGCAATAGCTGGCTCAGTCTGCCTTCTAGTCTTGATCATCGGATCACTCATCATTCACAAGGCATACCGGAAGCGAAAGCAATCAAGGAATCCAGTAAGCAGTGGCAAGAATAAGCTGAAATACGTGTGGGCATCTTGTCTAAGTGTGGATGCCACGGATTCTGATCGAGTGAATATGGATATTTTGTCTATACGACGTCATGATTTGCAGTTGCAACAATTTGTACATGTGAACAGAACAGCACACAACAGCAACTTGTCGAAGTCAGTTTGACAGTAAAACGTTGTCTGCTGAAAAGACTCATCAGCACAAATCGGTCTCTTTCCTGGCATTGAAAATCTGGTCCGCACAAGGCCATGGATATTGGCTTTAAATTTGTGCCGAAATTCTTTGCAGTCACGTGCGTCTCCTGCCTTTCCTGGGTGTTCCCTTCGCTGTTTCATGTCAGGTATCGTGCGCTCTTGAGGGTGGAATCAGTGGCGAGGTGTTGCCTAGCATAAAGGACGTGACAAATCATGCTACCGCAATGTTGGCTGCGCCTGTGAATACGTCTGTCACGGTAAGAAGTATTGACGCTGACCACGGGAAAGAAACATTTAACACTTTACTCAATACTGCGTTAGTGGAAGCTGGCCTCTATGGCTGGCATTTGTAGAGGCTAAAAGAGTTTATAAGAAGAAAGGAGGACCAAAAGAGCTACAAGTGATGCCAAAATATCCACTAACACCACCTGTGACTTTACAATCAGCTCATGCGGTAACAATACACTGACCAACGGTACTGACGCTCCACACCTAACTAGCAATCGTTGGTCAGTGTCGTGCAATGTTATTGCTTTGGTCCTCTTTTCTTCTTATCGATTAATCCCTTGGCTCCAAACCCGAGTCCAATTAAAGGAGTTTGTTAGTCAAAACTGTCAACGGTTGCCGGCCACACAGAGCACAGAAAAGCGGCTCTTTGTAGAGATTTCAGAATTTCTACATACTAAGTTACTCAATCTGCGGAAAGAACTGTTTCGTCCTTTGTAGACTCGTCAGCGCAGCAATGAGAAAATAAGGCTGAACCTGGTAGCAATGAAAAATAAAATTTCCAAGGCCAGATTTAAACCAGGCCCGAACGTACATTGCCAGAGTGCTCAGACTGACAAGTCAGTGAGCTCTGCATAACGTAAGTTAGCTCATCATTATTCTACATATACTCATACGTCGGTTATCCGGACCACAACGTTACGGGCACGTCAGTCTACCTGGTACCCGGTGGGCAGATTTCAGTGGAAATATTACTACTCGTTTGTCACTCTTTTTGTGGAAACAGTGACGTCAGATGCCATATCTATGGCCTGTCCCCATGAAAATGTATGTGATTCGGAGTTATGGACATTTCAAAGTTACGGGCAGTGCCTGGCACCAGACCGCCCTGATAAACGAGGTATCTATCTGCTGTCTGCAATCTGGCCATGGCGTGCAAAGACCGGCCGGTTGTGTTTAGATGCAGTCTGTCGTCTGAGATGAAAACCGCGGGGACAGACCTCAGTTGTGAGCTCACACGCGTCTTGAATGTGGCCTGGGATTGCCTAGTTAGCCAGGTGCCAGGTCCTTCACAGCGTGTGCCTCCTTGCCAGAGTGCAGTCCTCGATGTGATGCTTCATACTGCACACTTGTACACTGCTGTATGCAATTCGACATTCGGTCATTGGTTGCTTGCAAACCTTGCACCCTGTTATATTCTTTCTTGAACAGTGCTGGTGTGCGCCGAAGAACAGAGCGCCGAAGAACGACCAGCCTAGAACTTCACCAAGCGCAGCATGCCAACGTTTACACTGCACTCAACTCTGCATAGACTGTAATACATGTACATGAAAATGAGAATGGTCTTGGATAGGAGGCTGACTCCCCCCCCCCCCCCTCCCAGTTCTTCATAATCGGCATGTCTGAGCAAAAATGCGGGCACTGCAAGTCTATTTTCTTCCTTTTAGGACAACAATACAGTGTACTTTCAAGTGTCTTCTTGTCCCATCAATCCCACCCACGCCTTTGCCAGAATATTTATTGGTGTGTGTGTGTGTTTGTGTGTGTGTGTGTGTGTGTTTGTGTGTGTGTGTGTGTTTGTGTGTGTGTGTGTGTGTGTGTGTTTGTGTGTGTGTTTGTGTTCTGGTAATCCCTCTCGCAGGTATTGCCAGTGTCTCTGCTGAAACTAGGCAAGATCATTGGCAAGGGACAGTTTGGAGAAGTCTACCTTGGCTGGATTTCATGTCGTGATGAGAAGAACCGGGAAATCGAGCAGATTGCAGCAATCAAGACACTCAATGGTAAGAATCACCTCGCGAAGTGGTCATTCGCTACCCCAGCCATAAATTGCTTGGAATAAAAAATAAATAAAAGGGTGACAATTGGTTTTGAGCTGTGAGGAACATAAACTGCTCAAAATAGATACGGTATTTTCTGGAGTGTTACCCGCACGTTGAAAAGCCTAAAACAATCAAAAATGGCTCCTGCGGCTTAGACTCCGAATGCTGGCCATGAATCAACCAGTGATACAGCGTACTGTGCTTGAAATGCATGTAGGCAGTTTGGTGTCATTCGACTACTTTTTTGTGTACTTTTCATGCTCAGAAATCCATAATTGCAGTTGTACTGTGCTTCTAGTATTTTGTCAGTTTAGTGTGAGGGACAAAATAAATAAGGAAACTCTTGCTGGAACTCCAGTTGTGCTTCTCAACCTTTGAACCATTGGTAAACATCTTGTATGCCCCATTCAGTTTGAATGGTGAAAAATTCAAAATAATTTTGTGTGCGTCTGAGCCTTGATCTTTGAAGGGTGGTGGCGTTCCTACGAATGCAGAAAATTCACCCTCTAGCCGAGTCTCATGCGAACAGTGAATATTTTGTTTGCAGTGCTCTACTCTGATGAGGCTACTCACAACTCACTCATTGAGGAGCTCATCTTGCAGAAGAGCATAGGGGATCACCCGAATGTCGTCAGCATCATCACAGGCGGCCTGTATAATGGTAGGTCGCCATGGATACGCGGTGCTACATCACATTGTGAATGAACGTGACTACACTGCAGTCAGACCTCGCATAACCGCACACATCCGTTTTCCACAAAAATATCCGGATAGGCGAGGGAACCGGATAATCGAACACACATACTGTATGTATGCATGCCATATGCTGTAAATCGGTAACCAACTAATTTCTTCCGGATGGCGAGAGATCCGGATAAAAGAGGACCGCATAAGTGAGGTCTGACTGCACTAGTAGTACCCGTACATTTTTGTAGTATATATTTTTTACTTCAATAACACTGCCCCCCGGGGAAAGGGACAATGGGAGAACATAAAAAGGACAAAAGTGGCTTGTGAGGAACATTGGCTCACACTCAATAACTGCTTTTCACAAATTTATTTCCGAAAACATTTGACTTGGATGGTGAGCCAATTAAATTATGGTGAAAAAAGGAGGACAAAATGTTACGAGCTGACTGTATAAGATCTGGTTACGTTGGTGGACAGTTAGTCATAACTCGTAACATGTTGTCCTCCTTTTTCATCATACAAAAATTTGAATTCAACTTTTCGGCCATAAAATAACCATCATCAGGACAATAGAGAACAATGGGAAGTTGAGTGCTACAGGGTAGCCATACTGGTGCCATCTAGCACCCACCTTGCCATTGCTCTCTGCATGTACTGCACTTGACGGGCAAAGCCAAAGTCAAAACGTGTTGTCATTCTGTATCGCACATTTTTCAACTGCGTGCTGTCTGTACTGGCTGTAGATTGTACTGTCGGCTGATATATGAACCCCACATGTATAACAAAGTGTGGAAACTACATGGAACAAGGACAAGGAAGAATTGGATTAAAAGTAGAAAGGAAAAGGACATATGGAAACGAGTTAAGAGTAACTCTCCACCACTGTAACTAGATACTATATACAGTCAGAAAGTGCAACAACTAGGCACAAAACTGACAGAGTACTGAGACATTCGACGTCCTGACACCTAGCTTCAACACATCTCCGTAGCGCTAACCGACAGCCTTCCAACTTGGAAGGTTCAAAGTTATGGAAAGACCAAAGAGGGGAAGGCAAGCGCAACGAAAACGAGCACAAGCTACAGTCCCAACGGAACAAAGCAACAAAGGCGAAACGTACGTCGTGTGAAACAACTTGTTTTGTAGTCAACTAGTCCATCACAATGTCATGCATGAGGAGTACTGTAGGAGTTTAGATTTCGGCTTGTACAATTCGTTCTCGCAAAGCTTCCCCCTTCTTAACTTATCTTTGATATTTTTGACCCACCCAAGTTTCGTGGTGTGCTGCTTTGCTGCTTCGAATTGTAGTTAGACCGCTTTGTCAAATCGCCTACTGGTCTCGTCATCGTCCAGTGACAATCGACATTCTTTGTTCCGTTGTACTGTAGCTTGTGCTCGTTTTCGTTGCGCTTGCCTTCCCCTCTTTGGTCTTTCCACAACCTTGAACCTTCCAAGTTGGAAGGCTGTCGGTTAGCGCTACGGAGATGTGTTGAAGCTAGGTGTCAGGACGTCGAATGTCTCAGTACTCTGTCAGTTTTGTGCCTAGTTGTTGCACTTTCTGACTGTATATAGTATCTAGTTACAGTGGTGGAGAGTTACTCTTAACTCGTTTCCATATGTCCTTTTCCTTTCTACTTTTATTATTGGCTCAATACCCGAGTTTCAACTTGCACACCTGATGAGCCGTCACGAACCATACGGCGAAACGTACGTCGTGTGAAACGACTTGTTTTGTAGTCAACTAGTCCATCACAATGTCATGCATGAGGAGCACTGTAGGAGTTTAGATTTCGGCTTGTACAATTCGTTCTCGCAATGCTTCCCCCTTCTTAACGTATCTTTGATATTTTTGACCCACGCAAGTTGGGTGGTGTGCTGCTTTGCTGCTTCGAATTGTAGTTAGACCGCTTTGTCAAATCGCCTACTGGTCTCGTCATCGTCCAGTGACAATCGACATTCTTTGTTAGCTTGTGCTCGTTTTCGTTGCGCTTGCATTCCCCTCTTTGGTCTTTCCATAACCTTGAACCTTCCAAGTTGGAAGGCTGCCGGTTAGCGCTACGGAGATGTGTTGAAGCTAGGTGTCAGGACGTCAAATGTCTCAGTACTCTGTCAGTTTTGTGCCTAGTTGTTGCACTTTCTGACTGTATATAGTATCTAGTTACAGTGGTGGAGAGTTACTCTTAACTCGTTTCCATATGTTCTTTTCCTTTCTACTTTTATTATTGGCTCAATACCCGAGTTTCAAAGAATTGGATTGCGGACAGTTTCTAACTTTGCTAATATTCTCAAGCTCCCATGTTTTGCCTTGCACAAGAACATCTGACGCATTGAAAGTACCAGACATAGAGTTGAACACGTGCTGCGGGTGAATCCAGCCTCAGTTAATGATGATTGCATGGTCAGTTTGCACGGTCTGCTTACCATGATGAACTTGTGTGTGCGCTCACGCTTGTTTCTTTTCCCTGTCATACAGGTAATGCTTGTATAGTCATGGAGTATATGTCTGGTGGTGACCTGCATTCGTTTCTCTTGGATATCAAGAAGAACACGGCCTTGACTCCCATCACCGACCCGCACCTGATGCCCAATGAGCGGCTGGACATCTGCAGGCAGATCGCGCTGGGAATGGAGTTTCTGGCATCCAAACAGGTGAGAATTTGCTGTGATATTGACAGCATGGATGGCAGTTGTGAGTCAGTCAAGTGTCAAGTCAAGTCGGCGAAAACGTGCGAGCTCCGATGTGGGGAGCAAAAACCTTTCCTATTGAGAGTATAACTTATTTGTTCTGTCCAGTGTTGCTCCATCTAAATCTCAATTGTGCTATGATCAAGTTGGAAATGAAAAGGCTATACTTTAGTTTCCTGTGCTCCGTGTTCTCTACGTGCTAGATTGTTCACCGAGATCTTGCCGCACGCAACGTTCTTGTCAGAGAACATCACAAGCTGCGTGGAAAGCTGGAGGCGAAGATCAGCGATCTCGGGTTGTCGCGCGCCGCCATTCACAACGGAAAGTACGAAGCACAGACATCGGTAAGGCGTGAATGCTCTGAAGTGAGACACAGCACAGGGGATAGTTGTAAGACTTGTGTTGCTGGATCGATGGGGGAATTTAATGTGTTACACATAGCGTACAATAGACATTGAGACAATAAGCATGAAATTGCTGTGTCCACTGTTTAGCTAAATGTTTCCTGCACAGTCCTGGTGACTGTCACGTCTTCTTATAAAATCTGGTATCGCTAAAAACCATGGAGTACGATACGCAGAGCCAATTCACCTTCTAAATCCTGTCTTGCGACATCAACTTCTCTTTGATAATGAAATGTCTGCTTGGTGGGCACTAATCCCCTGTTGTTTTCTTGGGAAATCATGCAGTTCCCTTCAGGATTTTTCACTTTCTGACTATGATTTGTAAACGATGGAAATCGTTATGATCAACGGCCCCTCACTCGCCCCTCATCTCCATTTTGGTCTCCCATAAGATCTGTTAAATTGATGTGCTCTTATTTCTACTCATTGTCGTAATTTGTTGCATTGTTGCCTGTTTGTTGCTGAAGAGGATGCTACCAATCAAGTGGACAGCCGTGGAGAGCATCACAACGGGATCCTTCTCATCACAGAGTGATGTGTAAGGATTTTTTAATAATTTTTTATCGCCGCTCTCCGCTTTAATAACTGCATCTGCGCCTTGATCCTTGAAGGATGGTAACGTTCCCACGGATGCGGAAAATTTGGCCTCTAACCGAGTCTCACGCGAACCGTGAATTTTGTTATTACTGCCTCAACACGACTGCCGGGGCTATGTTCCCCAGAACAAGCAAAACGAAATGGACAAAACATGAACACGATAAGCAGCCAATGTGTACGGAATCAAACTCAATTGCCATGAATCTTGTCCTGACGTAACTATCTGCCTATGTGCAAAGCATACAGTGCTGCTTAGTGAAATGCACCCCCCCCCCCCTAAAAATCGACCTATGTTCATCATGCACACAATGACTATGACTGACACGCGCCAGCCATCCTACTTTGAAGTACACATATGGGGCCGTGCACCCCTCTGAAAGGGGGACCAGATACACCCCTGTAACAACATAGCATACCAGAGAAAATGTTTGTTTGCCCGTGATACCTGTCTCCGTTCTCAAGGGAACCTTTGACGACTGCTCACACCCACGCATAATTATCGAGTGAAAACGTCTTCCAGTCCTGCTGTTGATGTTGTTGTTGTTGTTGTTGTTGTTGTTGTTGTTGTTGTTGTTGTTGTTGTTGTTGTTGTTGTTGTTGTTGTTGTTGTTGTTGTTGTTGTTGTTGTTGTTGTTGTTGTTGTTGTTGTTGTTGTTGTTGTTGTTGTTGTTGTTGTTGTTGTTGTTGTTGTTGTTGTTGTTGTTGTTGTTGTTGTTGTTGTTGTTGTTGTTGTTGTTGTTGTTGTTGTTGTTGTTGTTGTTGTTGTTGTTGTTGTTGTTGTTGTTGTTGTTGTTGTTGTTGTTGTTGTTGTTGTTGTTGTTGTTGTTGTTGTTGTTGTTGTTGTTGTTGTTGTTGTTGTTGTTGTTGTTGTTGTTGTTGTTGTTGTTGTTGTTGTTGTTGTTGTTGTTGTTGTTGTTGTTGTTGTTGTTGTTGTTGTTGTTGTTGTTGTTGTTGTTGTTGTTGTTGTTGTTGTTGTTGTTGTTGTTGTTGTTGTTGTTGTTGTTGTTGTTGTTGTTTTTCTCCTCTCCAGCTGGTCTTTCGGTGTGCTCATGTGGGAGGTTGAGACTTGCGGTGAGTAGAGCGGTTTTGTGTACTCTAATTTCAGAAATTGAAGGTGCTCAATATTTTTGGCATGAGAGCAAAAGGCCAGGTTAGGTGAACAGAAATTTTATGTACAGAGAAGCATTTCCCTATTAGATTATGTGTGTTAGTGTTTGTTCGGTGTATTGAAATTTTAGGTATGAAGCAGACGCACCGAAAGTACCGAAAATAAAAGTACACCGTAATTTGTGAAATTACAGTACCGGTAACCGTTTTGCTCTCACTCTGCTTTCCTTTCAAAAATAGTATGTTACCCCTCCTCACATGAACAGAATGATAAGAACACACGCACACCTGCAAACACATTCTTTCCCTGTTTGTCTCTCCACTCTCTCATCAGTACATTAATGATGACAGGCGGTCTTATTGCCGGGGTCGGGGTCAGTAGATAGGAGTGATGTTGTGCACATTGGGAATCGAATAGAATAACTATAATGATATTATTTTGCAAGTTGACCAGCAACACATCTCTAGTTTTATGCAAATCATACCCTCATTCTCTTCTTGTTGGATTGGAAAAGGACAGAACGTGTTTTTGCTGATTTTTATGATTGAAGGATTGATTGAAACTGTGCTGGTGGTTTCGTTATCATTTCAGGTGACTTGCCCTATGATGGAAAACCTAATGCTCTACTGGCCGATATCTTGTTGAAGGGGTATCGGCTGGAGAGACCCACTGGATGTCCAGACAGGATGTAAGTTCCCCTACAAAGTTCGCAAGAAGCAAATATTGTGCTCTTTTTAACCATTTGCGTGGACACATGGGTAACCTTTTGGGTGGATGGTAATGTAACCGTTTGGATGGATAGTGGGATACCCCTTTGGGTGGATAGTGGAATACCCCATTGGATGCATAGGAAGGTTACCTTTTGGGTGGGCAGTAGGCTTCAGAACACGTTGTAGTGCTTCAATAATGTTGAACGCTATAATGTTGTTTGGGCAACCCTCAAGTAGCAAAATTTTGTAATCCCTGATACCATTATTGCTTCGTCGTGGTCTGTTCTGTATTCTTGCATAGATATTCTCTGATGATGCAGTGCTGGGATTTAGATCCCAACAGCCGACCAGACTTCTCTGCACTAATCCAGGAGCTCTCTCAGGAACTAGAGTCGCATTTGGTTAGTTTGGAAATTTTGATTGCTTTAAATGTCATTCTTATCATAGCAGATCTGTAAAAGGACGAAACAGTTCTGTCCGCAGATTGAGTATTTTGCTCCTGCTCTTGTGGCAGTTAAGCACTCTTATGTGGGGCAGTGCCTTTGCTGTTTGCGTCATGCAGAGCTCACTGACTTATCAGTTTCAGCACTCTGGCCAGATACATTCGGGCATGGTTTAAATCTGGCTTTGGAAAATTTAGTTTTCTTTGCTGTCAGGCTCGGCCTCAATTTCTCTGTGCTGCGCTGATGAGTCCACGAAGGACGAAACAGTTCTGTCCACAGATTGAGTATCATAGCAGAGCTATATGACGGCTTTGAGCAGCAAAGCCCACGCATGCACGTGTTTTGTCACGGGTTCGTCACGCGGCACATGAATAAAAAATATTTTTTCCGAAAATGGTGGATGAAAAAATAAATCTTGCGTGGCCGCTTTGCCCTGCCTCGTACGATCGTGTCAGCAAAGCAACTTCCTTGTCAACAATTTCTGTCATCCAGTTAGCCAAAATGACTCAAGGTTGTGTTTTCTCCGTTTTCTCCTTTGTCTCTCCGCCAAGCTGTACAAGAGTATCAGTTGTGCTAGTCTGCGTAGACAAGCGCTGACTCGTGTGAGCTGGAAGCGCTTGAAAATTCACAACTTCAAACAGCGATCGATCGCGCTTGGTTGAAATATTAATTTGTTGCGTGGGCAGATAGAGTAGCTCATGGTCGCGGTAGTGAATTTCCTGGAGCTCATGATGCCAAGCAAGAACTACTCGAAGCAGAGGACCAGTTATTTAGGCCTCGACAGGGCAAGTGCCGTTGACGCCAATTCAGAAATGGCTGTGATTACCTGTCGAAAAATCTAGCCAAAGAAGTAGACCGTGAAATAGCAGAGGCATTTACATGGACAACGTACGATGGTGGTTTGCAACATGCTACTACTGCTGGAGCGACGTTGAGTGCAGGGACGATCGTTGATCATCTACCTATCAGGTGTGGTTGTCAAACGCTTGTGGCCTTTGATGTGGATATGAAGATTCTATGCCCACTGTGCGTTCGTTATGCACCACATCTGCTGTGCATGTGGCATGACCCTATCTCAGGGAGAAATCATCAACCCAGTCATTCTGGGTAAAACTATTCCTGATAGCTGTGCAGGCCAGCACAAGAACCAATACGCTGCACTAAACAAGGTGCTTATGTTCGTGAGCTTGATGGTCAATGGAATGAGTTCAACTGAAAGCAACGGTTCCGCAGGTCTTCGACAACCTCAGCAAGGTGGTCGGCCCAGCAACAGTGGTGACGGTACTTGGCATAGTAGTCGACAGCAAGGACCAGGTGATGCGGCTACCTGACAAGAAGTTATTTGCCTTTCTAGCGGCTTTGAGTGAATAGTCCACGCGCACTAGCTACACAACGCGGGAACTGCTGTCGCTGATCGGAACCTTGTCCTTGCCGCAAAGGTGGTTCCTCCTGGCAGGACCTTCATCCGTCAACTCCTGTACCTTAGCTGGACAACTCTCTCAGTCTCTTCAGTCAGTAGTCAACATCGACACAGAAGCTCACTTGGACATCGAATGGTCGCGCTCCTTTGCCGCAAACTGGAATCGCCAACCCTTCTTCTACGATGTCGAGTGTTCAAAGTCCCCTGACCTTGAGCTATTCACGGATGCATCTGATGTTGGCTTCTGCGGTTTCTATCAAGAACAATCATTTTGGGGCAATGGGCCGCTGAGATGCAGCATGAACCCATTGTGATTATTCGCTTCCGAGAACTGGCTTCCACAGCCAACCAATGCCTGGTGCCAACTCCTTCGCTGAACTCGCCGCTCTGATTGCTGCCAGCAATGATCTCATGAGCGACTCAGACCTTTAAGCCCGGTATTTGCGCACACATAATCTGATGTACCCAGTTTCGGCTATGGCCGAGTTCCGGTCCCTGACCGCTACTGCCGGCAGCTCACGGCCAGTGTTTGTGTTCGTCGACGGCGGCTACTTCTCCCGAGTTTGCTCGACTAAGATCCTCAACTGCAACCGAGTGAGCTCCCATTCTGGGCGCATTGGCAGGGCCACACTCATGGCTCACCGGAGTACAAGTGTCTGTGAAGCAGCCATATGCCATGCAGGCTGCTGGCGAAGTGCAGCATCCGATCACTATGTCAGGCGTGCAGCCGGTATACCCTCTGTGCAATGGCTAGCAGCAAAGACTGGAACAGCCCACGCCCATGTGGTGTTGAGAACAGAACTGAGGTACATTTGTAGTGTTGTACAGTGTTGTGCCGTCCGCTTGTTGTGCAGTCCTTGTGCCGGGTGGCTCTGTGGGTATCACTTAGGGGTTTGCCATGGTTACTTGTAGGAAGTTATGCTAATGAGCGATGCCGTGAGAAATGCTTGGTCGTGAACACTGGTTTTTGGGAGGGTCAAATGCATTTGCCTCTCAGTGTTGTGCTGTACTGTCTCAGTGTTGTGACACCTGTATGTTGTTGTGTGGTTGACCCGCCGGTTTGAGGCATGGGCGGTCAACTGTGTCTGTTGTATCGGTGTGTTCCCGTTTGAAGTTGCCGGGCCACCATGTGGTTGACCCGCCGGTTTGAGGCATGGTTGGTCAACTGTGTCTGTTGTATCGGTGTGTTCCCGTTTGAAGTTGCCAGGCCACCATGTGGTTGACCCGCCGATTTGAGGCATGGGTGGTCAACCGTGTATGTGTATCATTGAAGTTGCAATACGTACATTGCTGTGACTCGCCCGATTGCTGTTGCCGGGCACCTACCCATTTATTTGCCTACTTGTGAAGAGATATCTCTTCTGGTTTATTGCATAATTCTTGGCTCAATGTTATCCACGGTGTCGCTCGATGCAAAGCCTCGTAAATATTTATCAGACAAAATCGAAAGAAAAAAAAAACCCTACGGCAAACCCCACTTCCTTGTGTTCTGTCTGCTTGGTGTACATGTGTCCACGTTTTGTACGTTTGGCACACACATGCGTGCGTGTGTATGTGAGAGCGTGTCTGGATAAATGTGCATAATGATGTTTTGTTTGTTTTAAGTTTTGTTGTGTGTATGCGTGCATGCATGTGGGTTAATTGTTATTTTTGCTAATATAGATTTATTGGTTGAAGTTGGTTGTTCCAACGAGGTACGCATGCTCCCTGCCGAACTTGACACTTGAGTAACTCACGACTGCCATCCAGCGCGCACGAGGAGCAGCTCAGCAGGAAGGGTGTGTTCCTCGTTGGAGCAACCAACTTCATCACTAATACCACCGAAGTCGCAACTTCCAAATTCCTTTATTCAAGTAAAGCAGTCCCGGCCGAACCGGTCCGGTTGGTCAGGCCATGACCGGACCAACCTTTTGGCAACCAGCGTGTGTTTATTGCTGAGGCGGTTATGTGGGTACCCGCCATATCATACACCAAATATGGAAGGCTAAGGTATGGCCGGACCGATCAAAAACTTCTTCCTCCAGTCCTGTACAGAGAAAGAACCAATAAGTTATGAGTTGTGACTAACAGTCCACCAAGGTAAGTTTCATTCATCTTGGGCACCCTGTAAGAAGACCTTAGGGTCTGTTGGGAATGCCCAAGTAAAATAATAAAATACAATACAATACAAAAAAAAGGTAACGAGGTAACCTTATTGCTATTGGCTCAGCATCCGAGTTGTTATTTACAAATTTCTGAAACCTGATACCATGCATTAGCGAGATGTTTGGATTATATTCGGTCAATGCTCGAAATGCGCCTTGATCCTTCAGAGTGGTGGAGTTCCTACAGATGCGAAAACTGAGGCGTGAATTGTTTTTCATGGTCCAAAGTGCTTGTTTCAATGCCTGTGCTTTTGTAGAACTATATTCAAGTGGAGGAAGGCGGCGTCAACATGTGCATTACTCCGGCGTCGTTGCCCGACGCAGGTCGTCGGCCGTCCGCACTGGAGACACTTCTTGAGAGGATACGACAGTCCACTGAACATCTAGAGGTGAGTGTGGCAGATAAGTCCTGGCGATGTGAAAAAGGAATGTGGAACCCATTTTTTAAAAGGTACTGTAATTGCTAATTTGTGGTCCTCTCATTCAGTTCACATTAAAGGGGAAGTCCGGTGAACAATTTAAATTTCACAGTCCGTAGAGTTCGGGTCGCTGAGTCGAATGGTCTTTGTCCGAGGATGCTGCGGCCTACGCTTCGTCAGATACGCCCAATCGAACATGTGCGAATTTGAGCGCGCATCAAACAGATCCAGGTGATGACGTCACAGCGTGCAGCCAGGTAGCCACACCATCTAGTTGTGTACAAAATGGCCATATTCGGAGCGCGTTCGATTGGAGAACCGTTTGTCGCAGCTTCTTCGGCCAAGACCATTCGATTCAGTGTTACAAACACTACGTACCCTGTGATTTTCAGCTCGGTAAACCTCGAGGTTATACCGTATTTTAGCCATTTCCGAGTTGGACTTTTTCCGTCAGCATGCCTCTACGCCTAGCCTCTATCTAGCAATGCTCTGCGCGTGCATGCTAGCTGTAGTGCAGTCAACAAACTCATCACACACGGAACTACTCCCGCACTGCACTGCCGTGCTGGGGTAGCTACAAGACTCAGAAATCTAGTCAACACACGGATTTGTCATGTACTACACTCGTATCTGTCGTATTGTACAGTCATGTAGTCAGAGAAAGTGCGTTTCTCCTTGCCGGTGCCGGTGGTTGTGCTTTGAGAACGAAAATTTTAGTTTTCCGCTCCTATTGCTCATCACTTCTTTTACAGATTTGGTGTTATGGAAAGTTTGGAAACCCCCTCGATAGGCGAAAGCCTTTAAGGAATCCTTTTAAAAACAATAAAAATTACAAATTACAAAGAGCCTGCACTGTTCTCCAATTGAGGAGTCCGAAATATACCAAGTTCACACCAAAACATCACCATGTGGCAGGCTACTGGAGTCTAAGCGAATCGGTATTTAACAACATTTGAGCACTCGCATCACTCTTCTCCATTTTGGCGACTCTGCTCTCCAGCGATCTGATAATTATATCAGCCTCGTCTGCAATAGCTGCTGCTTCTTTATCAGTCGGAAACTCAGCAGCGCTCACTCTTGACCGGCCCGCGCGGCCGTTTCTCCAGCTGAATACCGAGATTCTCAGCCCCAGACCGAACTCATGAAGGTCAGCCAGCTATGGCTGCATCATCACTATCACAAGGAGTTACGTCTTCGGGGTCGCTTGCACCACCTAATATCGGTCGCTAAATCATTTTGAAAAAGCACTGGCACTCTTGCTTTCACGCACTCCTTTTGACCTAGCTGGACGCTATGACGTTGCGGAGGGTGTGGCGCGGCCGCATGACGTCATGGCGCAGCCCCGAAACTCAGTTCTTCAAACGGAAATATCTCGAGAACGCTTTGTCGGAGACACATGGGACCAACACCATTCGACTCAGCGCCCGAAAGTCTACCCACCCTGAAATTTAAAGTTTTCACCGGACTTCCCCTTTAAGACATGATGCGTCCAGAAGGATATGATTATAAATCCACTCGGTAGTCTTCAAATCCTCTCTTAGTGATGTGTGTTCATCCCTCGCTATTTACTGCATTGTTGCGATGTGTGCGTGTGTGTGTGTATGTGTGCTTGTGTGTGTGTACATGTGTGTATGTGTGTCTGTGTGTGGGTGTGTGCATGCGCACGCACGTACATGTATTATGTGTGTGCTACCAGATCGAGGCCCCTGAGACAGGTCTGAGTTGCTCAGGTCACAACCTTGTGACACCCCAGAGTGCCTTGGGCTTGAGTATTTCGCTCAATGCTGACGGCTTCTCGCATGGCCACAGGCACAGCGCTGCTGGCTTCATCCCCGTCATGTGGGGGAGTTGCCTGAGCCGGAACGGTCTCCATGGGAACAGCGCAACACCAGGTATGGGCAGAGCTCGGAGCTTCTCCTCATCGCAGGAATCTGCCGCATTGTCCATAGCCCTGCGCACAATGTCTCCTGAGGAAGCTGCTGCACTGCCGGTCTTGGTTGACGATGTCGAGTCGGCAAGGTACGTAATGCAGCCTCCAGTTCATTCACACCAAGGGTCTTGTGAGGACGTTCGAGAAGAGTACCGGATGCCATCGCCGGCCGTCTTTGAAATCCAGCCAGAATGATATCTGAGCAAGGAAGTGAGAATGATTGTTTGATACCGTGCATGTTGCTGACAGTTGAAGATGATGTACTTTTTTTAAAGTAACAGTTCTGTTGACACCCTACATTCTGGTGCATTGATTGTCTATTGAAAGGATTTCTTTCATGCTGAACACCTACAGACCCGCCATGCTTCCTCTTCTCAACTTCTTTGAACCTTTTGAAAAGTTACGAACACATGTGTTTAAACAAGAATGACATGCACAAGTTTACAATGGCCGCAAACTTTTTATTGTTGTTACTCGCAGTTTGATGGAAAAATGGCAAGGCATCAGACAAAAATTGACTTCAAATACATGAATAAGCTGTGCATGCAAGGCACAATCGCATTCGCAGTGCACTGGCTGGAAATGTACTATGCTGACTGCACGCTCAGTCGCAAAAGTGACAGCTTTTTGGATGGCCATGAGAAAGGCGATGGCCTTTAAGCGCACAGCAAGCAGCTACCAACTCCAAGGAAGACGGTGGAGTGCATGGGACATGCCTAGCCCTGCCGACCATAAAGGGATCTTTCACGGGGAAAGGAAACTCCTGAAGCGCAAGTCCAATGAAACGTCAAAGCAGACAGCTAGATGGAAAGGCCAAAAGAGGACACTTTGAAATTATACTACCGGTATAATAGTAGTAGTGAAGAAGAGGTCGGTGCGATTTCGGCGATAATTGGGGAATTGTGTGTTGCTCGCTACGGGGGAGCTTGCGCCATTCCTGCCGATTTGAATTCTCACTTGACTGACTCTCCACTGATGAGGGGTGAATTCCCCGAAACCATGTGTATTGAGCACGGAGTGGTGCTTTTTTGCAGGTTTGCCGAGTGGAAGGTTCGATTGACTTCTCGTGCGCTCTGGATGGCAGTCGTGAGTCAGTCAAGTGAGAAGTCAAGTCGGCAGGAGTAGCGCAATCTCCCACGCGGGGAGCAACACACAATTCTACAGTGGTAGCGTAGGCAACAAACGTCATTACTGGTCCCTTATCACACTACTCACGTACATGTACATACTTCAAGCACACACAGTAAAACCTCGTTAATAAGAACACTGATAAGACAAACTTTCGCTTTAGAAGAACTAGTGTTCATAACTTTATTGGATTAAACACTGTGTATTCACTGGGTATAAAATATGGATAAGAAGAACTCCCGTTATTGCAAACAAATACCACCGGTCCCTTGGTGTTCGTCCTAGAGAGGTTTGACTATTATGCTGTCCGGTTGCCGTAAGTTGTAGGATCGAACTCGCGAGGGATGGACAGTATCGAGATGAAGAAAGCGACAAATATTTTGACTTGTGAATAGCAAGACGATCATCTGAACTACCTGTAGATCACTCATTTGCGGTGCAAAACATCAAATAACCAATTACATGCCATGACCGTCCTCATGAGATGATAAGTTTCATCAACCATAGAAGATTAATTACATGTAGATTAGCTGGACGTTAGTCTATTCAAAGCATGTGACTGAAGATAGGTAACAACCAACACAAGTCACCGGATACCATTCTACAGCGTTCAGCGGAACAAGTTAAAATACACGGTTACAGGGTCTCGACAGATCGGATGCGAGCTTACAGAGACCATCAGACGAAAGGTTCCTCTAGGCCCTCGACGAGGCAGCACAGGTGTAAAAAAAGTGATTTTGGTGCCGGTGGAAACTTCCAGAAAACCTATTAATAAAAGAAGAAGAAGTCCTGTGCAGGGCCGCGCAGGGCAGCAACGCAAACATTTCCACCTCTGTGTCTTGTCACCATGCTTACCTGTAATCTACTACCAGTGATTGGGAATTGTCGTTTGTAGGCATATGCGGATAATGCCGGCAGAAAAATTGGCAGAATTCGGTACTTTTTCTGGTAAGTTTCATGCATGTTTGGTATGTGGATAAAGAAATGGAGCAGAATTCGAGGAATTGCCCGCCATAAGGTTTGTATTGTTCTGCCAATTTCACTGCTTTTCGAGCAGAATCTGCCACCTTTTCGAGCATTATCCGCCAATGCCTAGTCGTTTGGCTTCAATACATTGATAAGCAAGCTGCCTATCGTCGATATAGTTCTGAAGATTGTGTCATTGTTGAGAGGTGTGGTTATACCCGAAGTCGTTATCCAATCAATAGGTTTTCTGTATATGAACATGCTAATACGCCAGAGGAAAACCCGCCGCAGTCACCAGCATTGAACATGCCGCGTGGGAGCATTTATTACGCTATGATCAGCTGATATTTTGAAGTCTTTGGACTCTTCGCAAAGAGCAGAGGCCTGACAAAGACAATTTTGGACATCAGAGAAAACATTGGGAAATGTATCATAATGCATTGAATACTAGATCTTATACAGAATAACTGATGTTGCAACCAGAATTAACGGGAATCCCGGAGTGCTGTTCACAAATCTCGGTCCGGCATCAAAACAGTGTTTTACAGTGAAAGATGACTCTAATGCTGCAAAGGGATTCATGTAAATTTTGATGACTTCTGAAAAGGTTTACGCTATAAAAATTGCAGTCCATCCATGGTGCTCAAAACTTTTAAAAAGCAAGACACAGAAGTGGGTCGAATACGAGTGCAGGCATCGTGTTATGCAGCACCAGCCTGCGGCGTGACACACTTACATGTATCTAGTACACTCGAGCAAACATGTGAAACACAGGTTATGTGCTAGACTCGACCAATTATAGCAGATCTTGAACCATCAGACGTGAAGAAGTTAGCACAAAAAAAGAAAAGTGAGCACCTTGGCTTTCAATTGCAGAATGCTGAGCTTGAGCATGGATCGATAGTGCTAACTAACGCCCCTATGACATAGAAGATAATCATTTCATTTTGTTCTCTTTTTTGTGTGAAATTATACGCCATGAGATTATATATTTATATTGATTATATTATTTAAACGGTGGTTGATGTGATTGGCTTGGCTGGTCAAGAATGCAGGCTCGATATTTACATCAAAACATGGCAACGTAAGCCATTGAAACTCAGCGTTACAACCGTGACCTAGCCAGTTGTATCTGGTCTCTTCTGCCTTTGTAAGTCATCGCCTAAATTGCTTTGGGCTGACTTAGCCGGCGGTGAACTTGGATGTTCTGAATGACTCACCGCCCGCAGAACATAGCGCTCTGATGCCAAATCTGCAGTGGTTCGACGAGGTGAGCAGGTCAATTCAAGGCTTCCTTGAGACAGTCTTGCAGGCGAATCGCGACCAAAAAACACTGAATTCACTCCAGCTGACTGAGGTACGTCGTATGCCTAGATGAATAGGGAGCAAGAACAACGTTTTGATGAACATGTGTTACATGAATTCTATCACTTTTCAATCCACTGAATTGACCGAAGGATTGCAGGACTGAGGGTTGAGAAGCGGGAAAAGCACACACCGCTGACCCCCCCCCCCCCTTCCTCTCACCATTCAATCTACAGTGAAACCTGTAACTAACGACCTCCCCCTGGGGCCAGAGAAAGCGGTCTTTAGTGGCAGGTGGTCCTCACTGAGAGGTTTGCACCACACAACCATAATGTGAGACCGTAGTTGCCTGGCGAAGTGGTTTGTAGTACCAGGCTGGTCGCTAATCACGGTGGTCTGTAGTAGCAGGCTGGTCGCTAGTCACGGTGGTCTTTAGTTACAGGTTTTACTGTAGTACCAGGCTGGTCGCTAGTCACGGTGGTCTTTAGTTACAGGTTTTACTGTAGTACCAGGCTGGTCGCTAGTCAAGGTGGTCTTTAGTTACAGGTTTTACTGCCTCTCTCCATGAGCATTTCAGAATTCGACATCTACATGTACATTACCTCAGTTGTCACGGAGATCTGAGCAGCATCTCTTGGTGTATGCAGCGCAGCTTGATGGTGAGGACTGAAGGGCAGGGCTGTTCTCCGCAGTGCCGTGCTGCTGTGTTCTTCAGGCTTGATGTCTTCCACCTGCATATAATCCTGGGCATAGTATGGTATAACACGGAAGAAGAGATCCATCACCCGCTGTCTAACAATTTTTTCTCTTGGGAAGACTAGCCCGTGTTAAAAATATAATAATCTGAACAATGCCATAACCTGCAAAGTTAACTGACTTGTCAGTTTGAGCACTCTGCAAGGTACGTTCGGGCCTGGTTTAAGCTGAATCTGGCTTTGGAAATTCAAGTATATTTTCATTGCTATCAGGTTCGGCCTCATTTCCTCTGATGAGTCCACAAAAAGACGAAACAGTTCTGTCCGCAGATTGAGTAACCTGCAGTTAAAAAAATTCCCAGCATGCGAACGGTGACATTAGGAAAAAATTCTCTAGTTGCCAAGATAATAAGACAGATGGAAGATTCATTCAAGTACAAATGCCGTGAAAGACCAGCCGATGGCTACACATTATCAAAGCGGAATGAACTCTATTTCTATGGCAATGCCAGCAACCGGAATAAATGTCCTTTGGCCCATATCTTGGCGAAGTCCACAGCAGAATAACTTGTATTGTAAGCGATTTAGTTCACAGTGGGAACAGCTGAACACGATGCCCTAGTGTAAGTCTGTGGGTGTAAAGTACTGAGCTCCTATGAAGTTTCCAGAGGAAGGCGAGCTCGACAGGTAACTACGACAGAATTTAACCAGCTGGATGAAACCCAAGTCTCACCGACCGCTGACCTGTCCATAGAGAAGACTTTATTAATTACTATGAATCACCAGCACAAATCAAAAGGCGGCAAGCGAGAGCAAAGGTAACATGAGTACGTGCAGCAGGAAAACCAAACAGCAATGACCTCTGGTCATGCTCTTTTCTTTCTTTCTTTTTCGTGTAATCTTTTCCTTTTTCACTGGTTTGAGGGAAAGACACAAAGGGGAAAGGTCTGAAGAGAATGTTTTGACTGTCACCACCAAGGTTCGAACGAGGGACCTTCACCGGAGGCCAGCGATACCCTAACCACCGAGCTAAGGTGTAGCCGTCATCCCAGCAGAGACTGTTCAAAATGTTCTGCTTTTTTCCTTTGTGTGCCTCCAGTCGATTTTATGTAATAAGGCAACACTGCCTGCTTGTTCTTCGATATTTTAAAATAAACCAATCCAATCCAAATGCTCACCAGTGAAGTCTCTAGATCCCGTCCCAGGCTGTACTTGATATGTGAAAACTTCGGTCTCTGCTCAGGGTCTGTGCTCCAGCATTTCATCATCAGCGAGTAGCTATGAATTGAGCAAGATCAGCGTAGATGCATACAGGTGAATGCGAGACATTTTCAGGAGTTGAATCAGTATTATCTTGCCAGTACCCATCCTCCTGTTGTGATCTTTGAAACTTCCCAAATGGATTCTGGTATATTTGGGACCCCAACAATCATCACCCTTAAGTGGAGATACTTCTTAGGAGCACCCTTGGAAACCGTTCAAACTAAAATGTAAAAACGAGTTCATGTACTTGTATGCTCAGATTGGACGAAGCCTGACAACAATTCTCCGGGGAAAGTGTGAGTTCACAGAGAATTTGACACTCTCCATCATTCTAAATGCGGCCAACCACTTCCCAGTGACGCAAAATAATATAGGGTTATGGCAGTGGTGGTATACCGTATCACCGCTCCTCCCAATTAGGATGACACCTGTAAGAAGCAGCTTACATATTTTCTGGACAGTCAGTGGGACGCTCTAGACGATGTCCTCTTGTGATCAACTGCGGAAGGAGAGCATTCGGTGTCTGATGATAAGGGATATCACCTGCAAAACCAGGACACAGGTAGAAACCAACCTGCAAACCAATCGTAGGCATTGCCAGCAATCAACGGTGGTACATGACAGGAACCAGGTTACGTCCATGGAGCTATGAAGCCGAGACCTCTGGTCGGCGGAGCTTAATGCGCCCCACCACCACACTCCAATATTCACCCCAGTGTCTGGAGATATGTGGATTTTGCAGAGAAAAACTTTTTCCGAACACGATGTCCTCCACCTTGTTACAAGCTGTCAATCAACAACATGTATAACAGAAACCTGTAGAACGTGTGACCATATTGTACTTCCCATGACAAAGCAGTGCCACTGGAAACGTATTATAGCCGTTGCGACTTACCACAGGTCTCTACCTCCCACATGAGCACACCAAACGACCATCTGCAGCAAAGCAAATACCGAAGACACTACAATACAATCAAATGCCCGATGTAACCAGCATATCTCTCCAGTTTGTCGTTGCCCTAATGAATCTGTTGATTTTGAAAGGTTGGCATTTTAAAAGAAACAGGTGACGTCCTTGTTATGTTATCAACACATTTGTACATTGCAAACTCACACATCACTTTTCGACGAAAAGCAGCCATCGTTGATGCTCTCTATTGCCATCCACTTCATTGGCAGCATTCTCTGAAGAATACCAAAGTAAGTGGAAGACGACCACAGCAGAAATCTAGACATCAATGTTTCCCAAACTAATCCTGACGCACACCTTGTCACAAGCCATGCGCTGCAGGTATGATATAGACTTTGTGTTCTCAGTGAAATGAGCTGAAACTCCATGCATGACTAGTTCGCCCAGTCAACTAGTACTAACCGTCGAATTTACTGGACGAGGTTTCCTTAGAAAGAGCTTGAACATAGCTCAACACCCATGCACATGTACTTCAAGGCTACTTGGTGATGGTTCGACGGGCAGTGAAAAAAGGGAAAACGGCTGGCAATATCTAAACGGCATAGGTATAGGATACGAGGTCTACATTTTCCCATATAGACCGAATTCGAGGTCAATATCCTATTTATCACGACTCCTTTCCCATAACCGCAAAATTTGAACCTTTAGGAGCTATTTTAACCTTTTTAGTATAGCATTTGTACTATAGTGTACATAGGATGTTGCTTATTTTGGGTACAAGGCTGTAAGAACAACAGAGTTCATCATCTGCAGCACAGTGGCTGGGTGGTATAAGGGGTTGCTTGAGATTCATACTGTTGTGAGTTCAAATCCTGCTTGTTCTCTTCCTTTGTCTTCTTCCTTTCAATTTTTCTTTTTGAAGTGGAGAGAAAAATTCTAAGTCCCTCCAAAGTCGAAAGATTACAATGCCTAAGTGGTCGATAAAAGCGGTCGATATAAGCGGTCGATATTGCGGCGATATGGGTAATATAGGACCAGTCAAGGATCACGAGAATTAGTGGAGGTCGATATAGAAGAGTGATAAACAATAATATTGATAAAATTTAATAGGCACTGAGTAGGATATTTGATCACACTCAGCACAGGTAAAAATGGACTGCAAGACATCATGTGGCTCACGGTCGTTTGCGCTGTGTATTTTCCGCCTTGTGCGGCACGCCGAGACAGACCCAGGTCACTGATCTTGAGCTCCAGCCTTCGCCCCTTCAGTCCGGAATCGTGCTCACGTACCAAAACATTCCTTGCCGCCAGATCACGATGAACAATCTGGATTCAGAACACACAGGGCCAGGTTAATGTGCTGCGAAGACACAGCAAAGTAAAATTGATAATGGTGTCGGTCCGTTCCTGAGGGAACTCGACGCCCGCTAACACCCGGTAAATACTGCGGCACACCAGCAGCGCCTTACGGTGAGCGAGATAGAAGGAAAACAAATCGCATGTGGTCCACCAAATATTAGGCATCCGTATTGCTCTAATACGGATGCCTAGCAAGGATATTACCAGAAACAATCTATACCTCTGCTTGAAACAGTGAGCAAAACGCGGACTGAAAAGACGGTAAAAGAGAGTTTCTGCAAAACGAAAATGTGTGCAAACTTTCGCTCTACGTCATGAAGTGAGAAACTTTGGTCGAACTTTCGCAACTTTGGACGTGAAACTTGTGGGGAACGCGAAATGAACTTTCGTGGGAAGTTTCGTGAGATCGAGTCATGGTATGAGGTGTGCAATTAACCCACGAAAATGTGCAGAACACAAAGTTCATGCGAAAAATCGTACAAATATTTCGCAAGGCTCGTCCAGAAACTTTGTTCAAATTTTTGTTTTGCAGAACCTTTGCAATGGCGGCGTATCAATACACGGGACAACTAGCCTTGCAAAGGTATCCCGTCATGAAGAGAATATGTCTCTTCTCCACAGGCTTCCGCAAAAATACAGTGAAAGATCAGTGTAATGTACACCAAAGGGGTCGTAACATCTGTACTTTATAGCCAAAACGTGCATGTAACAAGTTAGCTGTTGTAGCCGTGTTGTACGTCAGATGTGCAATGGCTTGTATAGTGTGCCGTAGGGTTCGTGAAACATGACTATTATCTGATAACCGCAATCAATAATACAAGCTGAATCGACATTTGTGTACACTTTATTCATGCAATGTAAAACTGTGGAGACAATGTGCAATTAAACGATGAAAATGTGAAGAAATGGTGTAGAGAAAAATATGGATTCAAACAAGTTTTCGTGCAACACTCATCAGGAATCTTCGTTACTATTATCAAGAGGCAAATGCATTATGCAAGGATTTTTGATAGAACGTGTTCATAACTGACCTGTTTCGAAGAGAGGAATTCCATCCCCACTGCCACCTGTCGACAGATGTCCAATCGATCCGTGGGCACGAGAAAGCTATTGACGCTCCGAGCTTCTGGCACGCGTTTTCTGAGTTTCACCAGGTACGAATGTAGATCACCTTCAGGCATATACTCCATCACGAGGCATGCACGACCTGTGCATGCACAATAGAAACATAATTGCACACACTCAGTATTCCACCATTTGTATGAATAAAGTCCGTTTGTATGAATAAAGTCCGTTAGCTAGAAATCACAATAGCCAGAGTTCCTAGATTACCTAGAGTGCCACAAGGATGGAGCATTACCACAAAAGCAGAAGAGAACAGAGACAACCGGTCATTGTTGTAACGCTGCGTTTCATGCACATAGCAAATCTAAGGCAATCCTCAGACAACTGATAACCTGTTCATCATCTGGTCCAAGTTTGCTATGTGCATGAAACGCAGCGTTACAACAAAGACCGAACGGGTTGTCTCTGCTCTCGTCTGCCTTTGTTAGCTAGTAATCATATGCAGGAAGGTCCTGGACTATGGTAACCACCCAAGGAGCATAAGCAGCACCGCACGGTCGGTGTTCAGAATTCGATGACTGTTGCTTTCTATTCAATGTGTTCAGTATAGCTTTCACTCAGTTCTCCAGACACAACGCAACGGACAACGGGAGCGAGTAGGGGGAAACATTTATGACGATGAGACGGAGGCAAAGACGAACTACAACAACTACCTTATTACTAGAGAGAGAGAGAGAGAGACTGAGACCACAAGAGACTATGAAGGGCCTGGGTAGCTATGGCAATATGGGCGCGCAAGTAGCTACCCAGGCCAACGGAACGGAAGGTGAGTACGAATACTACGAATACGACGTGTACAATTACAACTACATGCATGCAGGCCAGCCAGAAAAGGTATGGGAGGAGATATCTAACGAATGGTTAAACTTTTGAATCGGAAATTATGATCACACTGTAACCGTATTTTACAGAGCATAATCCGCAGTGGAGTATACCGGTAATATATGCACCCATATTTTTGTTAAGACGAAAAGAGGACCAAGGAGCAACAAAGATACGCTAGAATACGGTTGATCAGTGACGTGTAACGTTACCGCACGAGCTGATTGTACAGTAACGGGCGGTGTTAGTGGACATTCTATTGGTATTGATTTATTTGAATTCGGTATCTCAAAAGTACAATTCTAGCGTAACTTGTGGCACCTTGGTCCTTCTTTCTTCTTATAATTTTATGCTTGGCTCTCCACCTGAGTCCAACTGCGCACACCAGATATTTGGTCATGAAATACACCACTACATTGCGCAGACATCTAGCCTAACGTTATACAGTAAAACCTGCGACTAACGACCACCCCTTGGTGCCAGAGAAGGCGGTCTTTAGTTGCTTGGCGAAGTGGTCTGTAGTACCAGGCTGGTCGCTAGTCACGGTGGTCTTTAGTTACAGGTTTTACTGTAGTACCAGGCTGGTCGCTAGTCACGGTGGTCTTTAGTTACAGGTTTTGCTGTACATGTACATGTATATCACTGTTCATTTGACCATCGGAGTATGAGCCGAACTGACTTTATTGGGCTGAATTACGAGATTTTTTATAATGGAGAAATACAATAAATTTGAAAGCTATCTGAGATTTCTGCGCCCATACCATTGTAAAGCCCTCCCGTGATAATGTCGACAACGTTGGAATGTTTGCCAATGCTGCACTGCAGTAGATACTCTTCAATCAGTGCAGTGTTGGCCGTGTCGTCAGCAATACTTGCTAAACCAGAAAGAGAACACACACACACAGGCACTAAAGGGTGCAGCCTACCCATAAATTTCATATGGCATTCAATTGACCGTAACTTTGGTGTTTCTCAATGGATTTGAGTGAAATTTTCACCACACACTCCTGCCACTATGTTGGCCCTCAGGACATGATTTACAAGTTCTTGCGCTTCACTGACAGGCTTTCCTGGAGGCCGGAAAAACTCAAATTTCCGGCATAGTGCCACGGTGTGCGAGCCACCCAGGAGCCAAACAGAGGCATTTACAATTTTTTCACATTTTCGTGCTCATTCTGTTCGTGCGCGGGACTCAAACCTAGAACAAGTCCAGAAGCAGCCATGGGTGATGTGGTAGGGCCCCTCAACGAGGCCCTGGAATCTGTCACAACGGAACGAGTGGGCGTTCTCTCACACACTCCCACAGACCCAAGTCAATTTTTGAATTTTTTTAGGTTTAGCACGTGCTACGAGGTCGTACCTTTGATACAACATCCAGTGCTGGGACCTCCACAGCAAGCCATTTCCACAGCGCTGCACACCAAATCCAGGATACCCTCAGAAACCGGCAAAGACTACCACTCACGTTTCACTACTGCCTAGTACTGAATCCTACCTGACTTCTTGACACGACTCAAACTTGCCAAAGTCACTAAATCAACGTCAACTACAATAATCAAGCCACATATCTGCAACGTCACGAGGGTGTTGGCAAAAGTCCTGCTCCGCCGTGCAGCCCAATACGTGGCTCAAAAACCTGATTTTTTGGACTTGGAGCAAAATTCTGCACATTTTCACGTGTTTCCATGATACGACAAGTTGCGCACGGTCTGCTCACATTCAAATACAGTGCTGCCAACAAATGACAGCGTGCAACAAAAAAATCTTTCCTTGCAAGGGCACATTTTCGGCCACAACTCTTGAACGCCTGGTCAGATCGGGACACAATTTTCCGAGAATTTGCAGCTATTCATGCTCTTTCAACTGACGTAGCACTCAATATGAATTTACAAATTCGATTTTTCAGCGAATTTTTGGGTAGTCTGCCACCCTAACTTAACCTGTCAAGGAGGAGAAAAGCTGCAAAGCGCCATCACGCACATGCTTCCAACTCACACGTGTGAACTCCCACCCCCAACCCCCAATGTCGTTTCTGTTTTTGTTGTTGGTGTAACTAGAGCAGTGATCTTGTCTCTTAGTGTTGTGACCTTTCCACAATATTGTGTTGCATTGTTTAAAAAAATCACACTGGCCGAACCAACTAGAGCAGTGCATGTACATGTACGTTGTATGTCTCAGTGTAGTTGAGGGAACACCCCCTCCCCCTCATGCTGTGTGATCAGTTGTGTTGAGTCCCTTTGCCTCACCCACATACACCACCCCTCACATGCAATGTACATGCACCCCCCCCCCCCAACACACACACACATGCGTAAATCCTTCCCCTGACACACATCCACCTCATCCCTTACAAACATGCATACTGCGCCCTTCACAAGCCACAAGAACACACGTTGATCCTCTAACAACCCATGTTTACAGGGTGTACATACATCTGAGTGTCTTGATTGCTACCGTCTGCTGTCTGTCTTGCTCTTTCTCTACCACCATCATCTGGCCAAGAAACACTTCTCCGAACTGACCCTTGCCGATTGGACTAACAAAACGGAGCAACGAAACTGGCAGAACCTACATAAAGCAGTTCAAATTGTGAAGAACAAATCAAAAACATTGCCCGGAAAGCCTCTACAATAATATTATTGGAGAAAGGAAAAAGACATTATGGATACGAGTTAAGAGTAACTCTCCATCACTGTAACATGGTACTTTATACAGTCAGAAAAGTGCAATAACTAGGCACAAAACTGACAGAGTACTGAGACATTCGACGTCCCGACAACTAGCTTCAACACATCTCCGTAGCGCTAACCAACAGCCTTCAAACTTGGAAGGTTCAAGGTTATGGCTAGACCAAAGAGGGGAAGGCAAGCGCAACGAAAACGACCAAAAGCTACAGTCCCAACGGAACAAAGAATGTCGATTGTTACTGGACGATGACGTACGATATTTGACAAAGCGGTCTAACTACAATTCGAAGCAGCAAAGCAGCACACCACCCAACTTGGGTGGGTCATAAATATCACAGATAAAGTAAAGAAATGGGAAGCTTTGCGAAAACGAATTGTACAAGCCGAAAGCCAAACTCCTACAGTACTCCTCATGCATGACACTGTGATGGACCAGTTGACTACAAAACAAGTTGTTTCACACGACGTACGTTTCGCCGTATGGTTCGTGACGGCTCATCAGGTGTGCAATTTGAACTTCCCCTCTTTGGTCTATCCATAACCTTGAACCTTCCAAGTTGGAAGGCTGTTGGTTAGCGCTACGGAGATGTGTTGAAGCTAGTTGTCAGAACGTCGAATGTCTCAGCACTCTGTCAGTTTTGTGCCTAGTTATTGCACTTTCTGACTGTATAAAGTATCATGTTACAGTGATGGAGAGTTACTCTTAACTCGTATCCATAAGGTCTTTTTCCTTTCTACATTTATTTATGGCTCAACATCCGAGTTTCAAATAATATTATTATTCATTATTGTTCATGAAGACATGAACTGTTTACGACTTGCTTGCTTTGCATGATCTTGTATTCCGCCCGCGGGTTCATGCCAATGTGATGTGAACAATATGCTGCTCTGGGAACCATCTGTCCTGTGCTACTGCAGTGCTAGTGTTCTCCTTTTTGGTGCTCAGAGATCGAGGGGTTCAGTGGAACGAGAAGCAGTGAGGGTTTTTAAAACTCTACCAGACCACCGTAGTACAGCCAACTACTAGGATAGCTTAGAGAAATCCATAGCATCATATTTTATTTTTCATATACCACTACGAAATAGTGGTTGCGACTTCGGCGATGATTTGTTAGGAATGGGTTTCGTTGAAGGTTTGATGGACTTTTCGTGTCCTCTGGATGGCAGTCATGAGCCAGTCATGTGTCACGTCAAGTAGGCGGAATAGCGCAAGCTCCAGTGCGGGGAGCAAACCCATTCCTTATTCATATGCAAGAACAATTATTTATACTATATAGACTACTTACTCTATTCAAACAAATACAGTACATGGTATTGCGGAATTCAAGGACCAAAAACATTGTATATTCACAGAAGCGTCGTTTTAGTATTTCAACTTAATTGAAAGCGTCACGGAATTAAGACCCACTTAGCCTACTGCTTACCTTGACATCGGAACTTGTTGGCGCAGTCAGCATTGACGTGGCATGGTGCATGATATCCTGAATTTTGGGAGCCCGTGTGTGTTCGGCCATAGCTTTCGACAACGGCACACCCTGCAGATATTAAATTTTGTATGGCACATACATGTACATATGTAATCCCAATCAACCATAACCATTCAGAATAATTCAGTTGGACGATTGTATAGTTCATCGTCATGACTGTGTTATTTTCGGTGGCCAGGATAGATGAACATCCCCATTTGAAGTTTACAAACAATCTTTCGAGGGCACAATAATTTTCATAAAATTAATAAAAGGAAGGCCGCACACATTACGCAACTAAGTTACTTGTCCGACATGTATGTGTATCCTATAAAAAATCATCATCCGTTTGAAATATACAAAACAATCTTCGAGGAAAGAAAAAGGACCAAGGAACTACAAGTTACGGTATATTGTCCACGAACACCACCGGTTGCTAAACAATCATGCTCATGCGATAACATTGCACGACACTGACCGACGGTACTGACGTTCTACAACTAACTAGCAAACAGCTCTAGCACATCTTGGATGCGCACTCCAACAGCATTCCAACTTGAAACTGCATACTAGCAGTTCTAATCCCCGATGTTCAGCCGTGACCTTACTGTGGCTGAATCACGGTGAGCTCGCCTATGCCATATAAACAGGCCTATGAAGAAGGCCAATAGGACCGAACACCCAAGCAAGATCAGCACGGCTTTCATAACCTGTGACATGCCACCTGTAGGAAAAAAGCAAAGTAGCCCGCAGCACACACACACATGTACATAATATTATACGGTGTTCCACCACCTTGTGATATGCTGTCAAACTAAAATTAAGTAAGTGTCTACAATACAAGGTTTTCTAATGCCATTTATATACTTGTAAACATACATAAACACACACACGCACACATACACACACACGCACGCACGCACACGCACACATACACACACACATGCTTCTTTTCTGGTCTTGGAGCTACTGCCAGTCTTTGAGCATGGTCCACAATTGGTGAAAATATAGTACTATCCAGTGTAAAATGTTCTAAAATACTCATTGCTATTCACCTGGGCTAGTGGCGTTATCTTCTCTCGCTGTGCCCGCAATGACACCCGGTGTAGCAACAGGCATTGCACCATGCATTGCATCAGGCGTGGCATTTGACGTGGTATTTGATGTGCCATCAGACGTGGCATTAGGCGTCGCATTTGACGTGGCATTCGCCATCTGTTCTGACATATCATCAACATCAGGCTTTACACACTGCAGTGGACGGGACAAAACACATTGGCGCGCATGGCAGTGACACACAGTGAGCATTGTCGCTGCAGGGTGTAAAAACAATTCGACAGGTTCGCGTACCGGGCGGGTCAAGAACAAGGAGTCGTACATCTCCCTGGTCAAGAACCACCTTTCCGTGGGCTGCCGGGTGTGGTTGGGTCAAAATGCAGTCAATATTGTGCTGTCAGGGCATCATCAACAATTATCCATTTGATACTAACTTTAAGAATCATGCACGATATTCCCAGTTGTCTCTTGTTTGTCATACGAATACACATACTCCTGGTCTTGGCAAAGCTGGCTAGATCTCCCCCGCTTGATATTGCCAATGGGCATGGCAACGTGAATAATGTAAAACATGAAATTTTAGGCGCATTGAAATTTCGGTGCCAGGGACCTGCCAGGTTTCAGGTGTAATGTAGAACTAGGTGACCAGCGTTCCCTTCGCATACAGTGCATACTCCAGTGTCTTTTAGGTGTAATTTAAATTTAGGTGCCTGGTTTCTCTACTGAAAGCACCGAAATTAAAGTTACACCGAAAATTACATGTTTCACAGCAGTGAAAGACTCATATTGGTTCTGCGAATTCAAATAAAAATGTACCGTATTTTTCCGGTTGTAAGTCGACCCTTTACGGCTTAAAATAGAAGGAGAAAGGGTGGGGGTCGACTTACAACCGGGATTCGACTTATAACCGGGAACTATCAGTATCTTACAAAAAATGACCTGCACTGCATGCACGAGTGCACCATATTTACACATTTTTGCCAGTTTATTGGCCTTTTTCAAGGATTGGGACGTTATATCCTCCAATGAGGAATGTTTACATGATTTGTTGATGTGTTATTAGCAGCAGGTGGTTAGTAGTGCTTCTTTGGGTGAAAACTTTAAAACGCGGAATTGAGACCTCCAGATAGGGGGTCGACTTACAACCGGTAAAATACGGTACCTACCTACCTATATTCCATCAGAAACATGCCGATTAGTCTCAGGTGTTTAACATCGGTTGTTTGCTGATCACCTGAGCATGGACATTTGCGTTACGACTTGTTCCAACCCCTACCTCTCTTTCTTATGTGAACACGATCGGCCTTCTGTGAAATGAGTACTTTCCTGCCAGTTTGACAAACCGTGCGGTTATATACTACGTGTAGATGGAAGCGTTTTCCACACGCGCACGCACACTTCCCCGCACGCACACTAGCACATGCATGCGCGTACTTACATACACCCATCTCCATACACTCCTCTATCCGGTTGTGCACTTTCATTTCCCTCAGGGGTTTTTCCTTTTCCTTTTTTCACAACCATCACTTGTAGCAGAGCTCAAAAGAGACAGAAGCGGTAAGGTTAGCATTTGCTGCCTTGTACGCGAACTGTTCTATTATTATTATTATTATTATTATTAGATGGAAGCTCAGCACAAATGCTCAGCAATTCTACTTGGCCTTGACATCCAATTTGCTCAATAGTTTCCCAGCACATACTTCATGTATAGCAACCTAACATCAGGAGCAGGTAACCCCCAAGAGTGTGTAGCTCACACATACCCTGGTGCCCAGACAGAATCTAAAGTTGATATCATGTTTGAGATGCAATGCTCATCAAATGCGTGATGTACGACGTTTTAGTGGGTGTTTTAACGCTACACACGTGTTTCCTGATGCTTGCCTGTACAGTATCAAATGAGGATCTGTCCACAGCAGGTCTAGGATACGTCTGATGTTACGTTCTTACGTGTGCGACACACATATTGATGGAGTTGACTTGAAATTTCTGTCGGGACTGGACCCATAGCGGAGCTGCACACTCTTGGGGTTATGTGGTCTTGCTGACACCCATGGAAATTGGACATGTGAGGAACCAGTGTGGACTGCGTTACATCACAACACAGAGGCGCAACATACCCATGTATGAACGTCAACATCCACCAGGACGTCTTGACAGGTAGGTAGACCATCACGATAGATGCACTCGTGGTAAAGCAAACGGGCCCTTGTAAATGCCACACTGGATTCGGCAATGGCCTTTGCAAGATTCTCGGTAAGCCAAGCGATGTTCTGCTCGACACATAGAGCATCTGCCGATGACCAGATGCTCCCATTGAACACTTGCGACGAATCTTTCACTGATAGATCAACTTGTAAGGCAAGGTGGGCAAAAGCAGAAAGATCGTCGGGGAAAGCCTGGTAGTAAAAGTTTGGCCCCTCGTACAGTACATATTTGGTTTTCGCTTCAGTGACTATAGGGAACAGTACATGAAGAGAAGGGCTCGCGCATGGTGCTGTGAGTTGTTGGGCCATGATTTGAGCAACGATCTTTGGTACTTCTTGATGCCAAATGGCGACAATCACGGAAAACCCGGTATCCCTTAACTTGCCGGACAGGGAAGAAACCCTGTCAATTAGAGTAATGTTTTGTCCTGAAAGTGGCAGTGAACCTACGGCCTCAGCCACATACTCAGCAGGCACCGCCAACTGCCCTCCAGCAGATTCAGCCGTCACAGTAGAGTATCCTTCGTTGTGAAAACCGACCACAGTGTAGAGATTTCTTCTGGACCAGGCTAATGTACCGGCCTGACCAACGCCATTCCGGATAAGGTGATCATCAAGCGCAGCTGCAAACTCGGGAAGCCAGTGCAAGGCTGGCTTATTGCCGTCTTCAATGTTGACGAGTAACAGAACACTGGCCGAGCCAATAGTGCAGGTACCAGGCAGACGTTTCCTTTCGTCTTGCAGATCAGAACAACCTGGACGGGAATCAGAAAGGAATGCCAAAGGTCCAAGTGCCCTGTTTTCACGAGTGAGTGCAGTAGGTGTGTGCTTTAAAAAAGGAAAATTATACCATAAATGTACAAAACATAATGTAGAACGGATGATTTAGTGGGTAACATTTTTAGCATGCAAAGTTTGAATGGCGCGGCAAAATTTCAGTACAACGTTCATATGCCTTGCATACAACTTAAAGAGAAAAAATATCGTTTTTCTCGTTCCACCTGATATAAAGTAGTTGTCTTGTCAAAGACCTGGGCATCTTGTTCCAGTCCTATGCTCTCGGTTAAACAGTGCCTCTCAACAACGTGATTAATATTTTAAAGATTGGGAGAACTTTAACCTCACTCGACATTTGACGACCTGACACCTACATGTAGCTCGAACACATCTCCGAAGCGCTAACCAGCAGCCTTCCAACTCGGAAGGGTCTAGGGTTAAGGCGAGACCCAAGAGGGGAAGGTATTTCTATTGCATTCTTTATTTTACTTCACAAAGTCAAGCGGGATCGTTGCCCAATAATATGATCGCGAAGAGAGGGGGGGGGGGGGGGGAAGGAGGTAAGCGCTACAAAATGAGTACAAGCTAAAGTCTCACGGGAACAAAGAATGTTGATTGATATTGAACAATGTGGAGACCGGTAAGATATTTGACAAAGCTGTCTAACTACAGTTCGTAGCAGCAAAGCAGCACACCACCCAACAATGTATCCGAACTCTGTCGGTGTTGTGCCTAGTTGTTGCATTTTCTGACTGTGTACATGTATAGCATCTAGATACAGAGGTGGACAATTACTCTGAACTCGTATCCATACTGTTCCTTTCCTCTCACTAATTATGCATTTTTTAATGTATACAGCCATACCTGTAGTTTCCAAGTACTGCTCCTCTGCCATTCTAGATGCATTCTGATTGATGTCCAGCTGGAATCCAGCATAAAACAAAAAATAACAATGGTTGTCCAGCCATGATTTATGATAATTAGTTCTAATAATAATCCAGGCAAAACATTTACTGGGCCGTTGGGAAAAGCCACCAAGACAGATCTTCTGAATAATCATTCCTTTCCCCTCTGTTGCTAGCAGGACATGTATACGTAAAAACAAGTCTGAAACCCAGATTTCATTCCAATTTCAAGTGGGTTTGAAGCTTAGAATTTAGGTCCACATCCAGCTGCTAAAAGGCAGTGGAACAGATACAGGAACGATAATTGTCCGAAGCCTTTTCTTTTCCAAAGAGCAGACAGCATATGTGTAACGATCAAACAACGAAGAAAATTTGGTGCGATGTGATGATGCTGGGGTAGGAGATGCTCATGTGATCAGAGGTCTCGGAGTTATACAAGCTTACGGTCAGGTATCAATAAAACAAAGGGAAAAAAGAAGGCGAAAAGGGGTACTTACTTCTAATCTTTCTTGCTCGTTCACCGCATCCAAGCATGTAGCTTGATCGCATTTCACACACTTCGCTGTGATGTTCAAACCATGTGGAACCACACACTGGCAAACAATGAGACGTTGATAGGTCTCCTCTGCAAGGTGGAAAAACACTGATGTGGCGTAGTCGGTAAATCGAGTGTAGTCGTGCATGAAGCTGCGGACTGCCCATGCCGAGCCTTTAGAACTGTATGCGGAGCTAGCAAGCAATCCTGGTTTGATGTCGAGTGCCTCAGATGAAATCACACTCAAGTTATGACCAAAGACGTAGTTAAGATTATGATAGTCAGCTCCCATCACAGACGAGGCTGGGAATGGGCTTGGCAAGAACACGTGCAAGACTATTAGTCCGCAGGCCAAAGCGGAAAAAAATGCTCCAAAAAAAATTTCGTTCCCGCTGATGGGGTACCAAGGTTTGTTGACTCTACGTGATAGAGTGTTCCTTTACGAGCACAATGATGTAGGTTTGGTGTCAGGGGACTTGTCCTTTCGCGTGGAATTGAGGGGGTTCGACAGCTGTCAAATATGCACAGCTGTCGTGTACGGGGATTCTGAGCATGCACGGAAACTGCTCAAAACGGATCAAGTGATGCACGCCACGCAGAATTTGGAAATTTTGAACTGAGTGATCAGGTGACGGCGAACACATTGTCAAATTTCTTATTGCACGTACAGCCATTTCCTGTTCTTCCTTTCCTTATGTCAAGCAATGATTGCGCGTTGTGTTAGGCCTTTGTCGTCCAGCTCATGGCGTCCTCGCCTGCTTCTTCAGAGTCCCTAAACAAGCGCAGTACTCGCCAGTCCGTTGAAGTTCCTCGTATCGAGCCAGGAAGGAAGAATTGCATATTTTGTGGATCCATCCAGAAAAGAATACCAGGTACCAACAAAAAGCAGAGTACTTCGCAGATTTTGACACTCGAAGCTGAGGAAAGGCTGAGAAAAGCTGCTGCCATACGGAAGGACGAGGGCATTTCGATTGCCATTTCAGCAGTCAGTAGCCTCATTGCAAGAGAGGCATACTATCACAAACAGTGTTACAACGATTTTACAAGAGAGTCATCCCTTGCACGAATCCGTGACAGCACACCAGCTACATCGACCCCAGCTACATCGACCCTAGTCACTAGCTCGTCTGCAGGTAGCGCTGAGCATGACCTGTCAACACCAAGACAAGAGGGAAACATCGAAGACTTTTACCACCTAGTACACCAGTTGCTGTTTGTGGAACGCACTGCTGTTAGCATTTCACGTCTTACGGCAGACTACAACGCGACAGTACATGGAACTGCTAGGAATGACAGAACCAAAGCTGCTATCACAGAACGGTTTGGTGAATCTGTCACTTTTGTGCGCCGTCCGTCCCGGAACAGGGCTGAGCTAGTTTTCGCTAATGCCCATGCCAGTGAGATAATAGCCAGTTTGTATGCCGAGGTGGAAGAGGCGAGGGATTCGGATGGGGTTGATGATGATATTTGGGTGGAGGAGGACAATGCAGCTAACACTTCAGGAGGTGAAGGTGTTGTAGCACAAGATCGCCTGCGTATTGTATATCACGCGGCACGTCTTTTACGGACTGCGTGCCAGGAGACAAAGGCCCAAGAGTCAAGCGGGGAAATCCCAACAGTTGCTGAAGCAAACGCATGCTTACCCAGCCTACTCCACAACTTTCTGGCTTGGGTAGTGACTGACCAGCATCATGATGACATCGGTCAGGACAAAGTTGATTTGGATGAGCAGCTGCAACGTCACGTCTCCTCCATTGGCCAGGATTTGCTGTATATTACATCAGGACTGCCGTGCCCCAAACATGTTGTTCTGGGACTGACCCTACATCACCTCTACCGGAGCGAGAAGCTGCTGAAAATGCTTAACCGGTTTGGGCACACCATTGCCTACTCCCAGGTTTTGGAAAGGGAGACTGCTATGGCAGAGCGGCGAGTGCGAGACGGGCACATAGTGGATGCGTTACCGGGTGGCATTGACCCCCACAGGCCATTCTACCATGTAGCAGATAATAACGACTTAAACGAGGAGACTCTGGACGGGAAAGGGACCACACACTGCACCAACACCGTTGTTGTCCAGCCCCGTGCTTCATCTGTAAGCCGCCCTGACAGTGATGTTTCTCCTGCTGAGCCAGCACGAAAACGCAAGCGTACGCTGGCCCTCGAACCTGAGGTTCTTCCCGAATTAGTGTGCCCGACAAAAGTCAACCCAGAGCGCCGTGAGGCAGTTGACGTGGAGACGCTGGACACCTCACTGCCTCACTGTTCTGACGCGGTGGCCATGGATGACTTCATCTGGCAGCTTGCACGGGCTTCAAAGGACGGTGACATCGGCAACGTCATTTTGTCCCGCACTGATCAAGACCAGACAGTTCCAGCGTGGTCGGCATTTAATGCCCTGCTTCAACGCCAATGCATCCCACCACGGTCTGCCATAGGTTACTGCCCTGTGGTCAACTCGTCACCAACTGACATGTCAACAGTCTACGCCATCCTCAGAAAGTGCCTCGGTCGATGTGCCAATGCTGGCCTCCCATTTAGCATCATTGTAGTGGACCAAGCCATTTACGCAAAGGCATTGGACATTATTAACCACCGGCCTGACGAGTTCTCACCCGTGGTGCTGAGATTGGGAGCGTTTCACGCAGCCTGCACGTTCCTCGCCATCATCGGGAAGCGTTTCCGTGATGCAGGTCTCCTTGATCTGTTCGTTGAGTCCGGGATAGCTGGACCATCTTCTGCCTCGTCTGCGTTAGACGGGACTCAATACAACCGAGCTGTGCGTTTGCACAAGGTTGTTGCAGAGGCTTTGCATCGGATGCGGTGGCAACAGTTCGTGCAAGATGCGGATCCCACGATCATCAACCTAGCAGCCCTCCGATCTTCACTAACGTCTTCATTCAAGGAGCTACAGTCTTGTGTCACCGATGACAACTCGGCGTGCATCACGGCATCACCGGAGGCTGTGGAGTTGCACAAGCAGTATACGGAGTACTGCCGGAAGCAGGCCGCTTCATCAGAAATGTTCAACTTCTGGTCTTCCTACATTGCCATGGTGAGCCTTCTGCTCCGGTTCTTGCGTGCAAGTCGAATGGCAGATTGGAAGCTCCATCTGCAGTGCGTTTTGAAAATGCTCCCTTGGTGCTTTGCGTACGACAGGCAAAACTATGCCCGCTACATGTCCTATTATTGGCTGCAAATGACCCAGTTGCCAACAACACATCCCGAAGCGGATCGGTTCCTGCAAGAAGGAGGTTTCTCCGTCCAGCGCTCCGACAACCCATTTGCTCAGGTCCCATCTGACCAGGCCATTGAACAGTCGATAAACCGGGCCACAAAGACCGTGGGAGGCATTATTGGGTTCAGCCGCCATCCAGCAACCGTGCAGAGATGGGTGTTGACTGCACATGACCGAGCCGCTGTGGCAGATGTCTGTTCGGAGCACTGTGGTATGGACAGTGGTACCGAGGAGCGAGATACCCTGCACAAAGAGTGCCAGACGGGAAGAATGGCTCGTGATGAAAACGATGTCGTGAGTGTGGTCGAGACTGTCAGCAAATTTCTCAACCCATTCGCATCTGACGGCGAGGAACCGCTGCCTTTGACACAGTTCGCATCTGGCATTGAGGCACCCCATGATGTAGCCCAGGATCTGCTCCATGCCGAATCTCGTGGACACAAGGCCTTCACGGCTTTTCTTAGCGAGAGACTGTTGTCTGGAGCATCCGAGAAACAATTCCACGATCCAATGAAGAAGCTGCAGCTGAAGACCTTCACTCTGAAGAAGCAGAAGAAGAAGACTCCTGGAAGTGGTCAAGCCGAAATTCTCCGGAGTGATCGGTCAACATTCTCCAGGATTGCCCTGATTGCTCAGACCAGGCAGATGGATATGCGTCATGTCCTGTCATACCCACTTGGCCCCCTGCCCTGGGCTTTAGCAACAACGTCAGGATCTCTGGTGAAGACCAGCAAGTCTGCCCTGCTGCCGTTGCTCACGGACAAGGCGATTGTCGACGACAGTACACACCCACACGATGGTGCACTAATAGTCGACGCCATGGCACTGTTGAGGTCAATGAAGACTTCCAGCTTGCCATCCACGTTTGCCGAATATGCTGAGTGCATCCTAGATCGCCTGTGTAAGTTCTTTGCACGGTATGCTCGAGTGGACTTTGTTGTTGATACGTACCGGGATATGTCGATCAAGAATCTGGAACGTTCATCACGGGCCGCTAGTGGGACTCTACGGCAGCATATCACTGGCGCTGATCAACGGCTTCCCAGGCAGTTTGCCAAGTTCCTGGCAGTGGGTGACAACAAAGAGGAATTGATTGCATTCCTCGCCGTACAGTGGCAGCGTCCTGCCATGGTTGAGAAGGTGCCTGAGCAGAGGGAACTTGTCGTTACCAGCGGTAGCTCTTGTGTGATGATCAAACGTCAGGCAGGTGCTACAAGTGTCGTCCCTGTACCTGACTTGGAGTGCAGCCACGAGGAAGCGGATACCCGTCTCTTGTTGCATGCATCTCATGCTGGTTCCGCAGGCTATCCCACCGTCACGGTCAAGTCCCCGGACACTGATGTAGCAGTTCTGGCTGCCTTCGCCCGCCATTGCATCTCTGGAAGATTGTACTTCCTCACTGGGACTGGGAACAAGGTTCGATGCATCGACATGGCAACTGTCAGCGACGAGCTTGGCCCAGAACTCTGCCAAGCACTGCCAGGCTTCCACGCCTTCACTGGGTGTGATAGCACAAGTGCTTTTGCATACCGCGGGAAGAAGGCTGCATTGAAGATTCTGCAAAGCACCGGTCCTGTTGGGTCTACATCTCGGCAAGCATTCACCTCCCTGGGGAAAGGCTTCGAACCACTGACAGCTGATGTGCTCCTCAACCTTGAGACATTTGTGTGCTCCTATTACAAAGTCTCTGGTTGTAGCAGCGTCAACGATGCAAGGTATGAGCTGTTCTGCACAAAGACCTTGCAGTCAAACCAGCTTCCACCATGCAAAGATGCCTTCCTGAAGCATGCCGCGAGAGCTAACTACCAAGCTGCCATTTGGCGCCAGTGCATTGTGGCCCAGCCTGCGATACCAGCACCACAAGATAATGGCCAAGGTGAGTGAGCTGACTGTAGCATATAATGCAGTTGTAGAGGAGGACTGCAGTATGAAAATGATGGATATTCTCTGAACAAGACATGTTCGTTGATGTTGCTACTTATACAATAGAGTGAATCAGCTGTGTTATCAACACAATCATGCATGAAGTAATTGACTGTTGTAGTGTAAGAAGCTTTTCTGATATATGGAGTAAATAATTTGCATTCCTCCATCTGTTTGTTCTCCCCATTACAGGTTGGTGTCTTGACCAGAACGGTGATCTAGCTGTGGACTGGCTTAGTATACCACCCGCTCCCCACTCTGTCCTCGAGTTTCTCAGCTGTGGCTGTAAGACTGGCTGTGGAGGAGGCAATTGCTCCTGCAGGCGTCACATGCTCGTGTGTACAGATGCTTGTAGCTGTCACCATCATGCTTCAGTTCCATGCAAGAACTGCCCGGTGGAATCTGCTCCTGGACATGACGAAGTACAGGCCATCGATGAGGGAGATCTTCCGTCTGACACTGAGCAGCAGTGAGTCACCCATTTATGGACACACGGATAATGCACTTTCGTTTTATGTTACATGTAACTGTTCAACTCTAAACATTGGGTATACAGAACTGTGTTCACGTTGTGACATGCTTCCCTATTCTGATTCATGGGTGACTACATAGTAAGGTCGTACTGTGAGTCAGTGAGTTCTATGATTCTATGGTCTGTCAATGCAGGTAATTGAATGAATGGCAAGTGCGGATCACGTCGGTTTACCCAGTATGTGCTCAAAACTAGTGGACCGATGCGGTTAAAAGTCAGGCACCTCTACTTGTTGCATACACGTGTATGTGCTGAGTGTTTTTGCTGGCTTCTGAAACAACGTAGTGTATAGTGTATAGTGTATAACAATGTAGTATGAGTATGTGGTTGGTAATAATGCAAAGCCAACATCTTTGTTACGTCAGATTTATGTGCATCTCTCGGCGTCCATATTTTGTTGGCCGCTTAGCAGAATCTACTGTGCATAGCAGCATATACTGTGCATCTTCAGTTCCCCGCTCAAGTCCATTACTGAGTTGGCAGCGATTGGCGGATAGCCCTCCCACATTGTACATTGTCCAATGCCCATGTGATGGCATACTCTTCTTTTTGTCTTTTTTATATTTTCTACGCCTTCATTTTGATTTGATAACAGCCGAAGTTTGTTTCAGATGATGGCCCAGTCACATGGAGAAGCCCACCTACATGTGTATTTCATGTACATTATAATACTTGTGATGAGTACTCTGTTCTTTGCTTCTGATGTACATACGATCCCCAATGTGATTTGGCTACAGCTCATTTCGAAAGACTATCCATGTATTGGACATAATCTTATCAGTGATTGTAATGCTATTGTATACCAAAGGGCATTCTGAATTGTATTGTGAAACAAGGCCCACAAGAAGTGATAAAGACTGTAAAATGTCCAGGTATATCACGAGGGGGGAGCCTCCCCTTCCACCCCATTCTGCATCCCTAATCGAGGGGCTGAGCACCCCCCTTCTACCCAACTACTGTACTTACAGTGCAATGGTATTGACCTTTTGTATGCACACAATTGTCGTACTGCGGGCGACCCCAGCATGGGTTCTAGTTGCACGATTATCATCAAACCTTGGATACCGGTGGTTCTTGGTCTTTCTTTGGCAATGCAAAAAACTGGAACTGCTTACAGCATAGGAAAGGTGGTAAAATTTGAATTTCGACTTCCGTTACCATGGCAACATCAAAATAATAGTATTCCTTTGATTTGGTCAACTTAGGACAAGAATCCCGGGACAAGAGATACATGATAAGAAAGCCCTAGCACCACTCTATCATTTCGTATAGTCAAACCTTGGTACCCTTCTGCTCGGAGCGAAAAATACGAATTTTGCACCCTGGCCTGCGGACTATATGTCGTAGCAGCTGAGTAGCTCATCCAGAGCACTAACGTGCGCCTCAAGCCAGAGCCAATCCATGCTGTTCACGATCAGAATGATATGGCGCACTGCATGCAGCCGCCAAGGAGTGTTAGCAATAGCAAACGCCAGGGGAGCATATATGTCCCATAGGACGGTGCTATTGTCTACTTCTGGGTAGAGTAACTGTCGTATGGCGCTGGAAATACAATCAATGCTGAACAAATAGGCCGGTGAACAGTCGGATAGAACGAATCTCCCAGAAACACCTTCATTCGAGCCGAAACCAACCAGGCCGTAGAGGTTGCGCATAGTATACGGAGCATCTTCTCCAGATCCGAAGCCGCCTTTTCTCAGCTTGTGATCCAGGGTCTGCAGAAAGCCTTTGGTTTTCAGATGCAGGCCTGCCAGGGCGGCGCTTTCCTCCGTGATGATGATGATGTCAGCCTGCTTCGCAGGTAGAGTGTAGCTTAAGTTTGTCGTGGAAGAGTTGAGTTCCTGTTCCTGGCAAGGCATGAGCGTGGTGTCAGGACCAGCTGTGGACATGGTTGTAATGGCTGTAGAGGATAATAGCACGAAAGAGAACTTTTGCTATTAGTCCCAAAAATGGAAGAAAACAATTCACTGCATGGAAGAGATTTCACAATGAGTCGAAAACGGAAGAGCTTGCTTGGGAACTAGTCCAGTTCGAAAGGGGCTTTCCCCTTCTAGATCCATTGCAGCAACTCGGTAGGCCGTGATTAATACACTGATTATATCAACAAACTCGCCCTTCAAGCAGGAATTCAATTACATCTAGAAGATCAAAAATTCTCGCTCCACACGCACCGCCACACCCATAGACAGAAACAGTAAAAGGAACAATCCACAAGTTGATGCTAGTTTGCCGAATAAAGATGCGAGAAACTAAGTTACAAAAAGAATAGAATGGGATATGGAGCTTGGGTTGGCTGTGACTCAGAGTTTCACGCCTGTGGCGATCGTCAGACAGTGCTGTCTGATGATCGCCACAGGCGTGAAACTCTGAGTCACAGCCAACCCAAGATCCGTATCCCATTCTATTCTTTTTGTATGAAGCTCTGCACCCCGGTGCATTGAGCACTCTTTCGAGGACCACACCCAACTTTCCGTGTGAGAAACTAAGTTCACTCTCCATCATACCTTAGAAACATGAGGTGCACAAACAACAGGAAAGAAACTCGTGTCGGTGAACGTATTGTTGTCCATAAATCCGTTCTAGTACTTAAAGATGGACATACGTAGCTGAGGATCCGGCAAAGGAAAACAACAAAAGGCGTGAGGCTGTAAGCAAGCAATTCCCTTACTATTATCTGGTGCCGCTCTCAGCTGTGATGGGATGCAAGCGCGATATCGTGGATCGGAGGGAGCATATATATCGACATCTTCAGCGACCATTGCCGGTTCTAATGCGACAGGATCAAAATAGAAATGCCCGGAATGATTATGGTGATTTAGATCGAATCTCGAAAAAAAGATGACAAACTTTTGTTCGGAAATTAGAGGGTACATGCCTCGTACTGATCTGTTCTCTCCGAAACTCAACACTTGCAAGCCAGATACGAAAGAAAGAAAAAATCATCAGTCAATCCACCGGGAGTCGAACCAGGGACGTTGCTATTCGCGAGCGATGCTCTAATCAACTGAGCTACAGTATGACTCTTATCCACAGTGATGGCAAATCTATCCTTCATCGATCCATCAATATCCGGCTTACATCATACTGGCAACTCACACCACTCAAGAGGGCCCTCGGCCATTCGCTTGATATACCTCTTGATGTAGATCTTCCATGTGCATGTAAATTGGACAATCCTGCATTAAACAGTCAATATTGGAACTGGCCTCACCTTTGCAGTGCCCGAAGCATCCATAATCACGAAGAGGCGATAATATGGACCTCGAAAACATCCACCGTAGATCATCGCGTGTGTCCGCTGAGTGAGGGTTCAACATGGCAGGATCGGGCCTGACGTCATCACATTCGCACGTTCTGGACAGCCAAGCATCAGGTGTGCCACCTATCAGAAGCCTTGCCATATTCTCAGCCACCACGTGTTGAGCACGGGAAGAGGACTCGTACGAATACCCAGGCACTGGCTCGCCGAGCACTGGGAACATTCTTTCCCTGTTGAAGATCACGCCGCCAGTGGAGAACGCTAGGCGTACAAATTCCGTCGTTGTTATAGACCGTAGGCTCGCTTTTTCACCTTCTCCCATGGGCTTCCAGTTGGAACGAGCCGGCGGTGCGTCTTCTAGGCTCACATCGAGAAAGGTATCTTTTGTTAGCGCCAGCAGATGCATAACACCCGTTTCCAGAGTAAGAGGAGCGATGGCATGGACAGTGCAGTTCCAGGCGCGAAGCACCTGGATGTCATGATCCGTTACACGAATGTCGACTCGCAAGGGAAAGATCAGCAGGATGACGCACTTTCCACCCGGTTGTGCGCGCGCTCTGTCCACAACCATATCAATAACGCCCTCGAACCCAAGCAGTCGATCGTACGCGTCATCTAGAGACTCGTACGTGTATCGCTTGCTCTTGGTTTTGGCTGTGTTGATGTTGGTGAGAGCTCTTGACAGGAACGAGCTCCCGCGTCCAGCGCTCATCTCCTCATTTTGAAACAGAACTTCAACATATTTTCCGGTGGCTAGGAGCGGGGAAATTGGATCAGGAAGTGGTAGGAATCCAAAGGATTCCATAAATCCCCACACGGAACACGAGATATCGAAATGGGATGGATTAATACCGGATATTCGCAGTAAACGCGTGGTCTGATGCATAACGTTGCTGAGAAGACTTCGAATGGGCTCATATGACATGTACTCCTGAACAATCAAGATGAAATCCGTCCTAGGTAGACCGCTCGGAATGGAGTGTTCACCAGAGCAGCCTGCCGCATGATGGTCTGTGCCATTAGAGGCCTGCAAGGTGTCCAGATCTACAAAGAGAGAGAGAGAGAGAGAGAGAGAGAGAGAGAGAGAGAGAGAGAGAGAGAGAGAGAGAGAGAGAGAGAGAGAGAGAGAAAGAGAGAGAGAGAAAGAGAGAGAGGGAGAGAGAGAGAGAGAGAGAGAAAGAGAGAGAGGGAGACAGACAGAGAGAGAGGTGCATGGAGAGACAGAGAGAGAGAGAGAGAAAGAGAGAGAGAGGTGCAGGGAGAGATAGATAGGGACACAGAGAGAGAGATAGAGAGAGATAACTTGAAAATTAGTATTTCCTCCTTCCCACTGTTGCCAGCCCTTTAGGTAGATCGTCTGTATTCGGACTGTCCGAGTGATCTACTTCAGCATATACAATGCAATGACTAGTCTAGCGCCATATGCAGCAGTTTAAGTTCAAATGTAAGTAACAATAATAATAAAAACTGGGATTTTTATCCAAGAGTAATATGTACAGATAACTGACAAGGATATTGAGACATTCGACGACCTGAAACCTAGCTCCAACACATCTACGAAGCACGAACCAACAACCTTCCAACTTGGAAGGCTCAGGTGCGGAACGTTCCAATGAAGGGAAGGATGCGCCACGAATGTCTCAATACCCTTGCCAGTTTTGTGCCTTGTTGTCACACTATCTGACTGTATACTATCTCGTTACCTTGGTGGGCTGTTAGTCATAACTAGTAACGTATGGGTCATATTCTCTTTCAAACAATAATAATAATTCAGAATGCCTAGCCCTACATGTAGTAATAAAGGAGGAAAGATGATATGAGGGTTTGGGAACAGCAAACTTCGTGAAGGTCTTGCTTTTGTACTTCAAGTATTGAAGTGAGATAGGGGAGAGAGAGGTCATCAGCAGGCATACATATTCAGTAGATCAAGAGCTTTACAGCGTCATGTTTCGCCAAACTGTACCGTACACTCAGTTCTCTCCTTCTTCAGGACAGTGGTGTTCAAGAGTGGCTGGCATGATCCGTACTCTACCGTGTACATGGTAGCATTTTCATTACGTAGCAGTTTCGGTATGGCGTGGCAGGTCTTCCGAGATGCACACGGACAGCTGCATGGGAAGGTAAAAAAAGACGGTCAACTCAGCTCAGTAGTAGCAGTGACTTGAAGCCAAAGCTGTAGCAAAATGCATGCGAGGGCAAACTAACACAAGGCTTCTTACATGACTCTATGCTCTCCGCCTGCCAACACGGGTAGAAGTAATCCTGAAATGATCAGCAACGAGGTGGACAAGGAAAAGTCCATTGCGACTTCATTAATTTGATGAATCATTCCAAAGTGGAGTGTCGTGAACAAAGTAACTGTTATGGCGTTCATGCTTAGACAGAGAAATCAAAACATAACACCATACTCACTAAAGCACTTGAGACGAAAAGCGCGAAACCTACACCTGAGATCAGGAATAGAATAACGGATGTGACAGCTTACCTCGATATGTTCCATCATGCGAAATGGATGTGAGCGTAGAGTGATGAACACTTCCCTCGCCGTCAGCAGCACAGGCGCTGAGTAGAATTTTAGGCCCCTTCCACAGCACGTCGAAAGTGGCTTTGCCTTGAAGGCAAAAGGCAGCTTATAAAGTGAAGCTGCATTCACACCTACAGGTTTTTAAACTGGATTTGAAGAAGAAGGGATTCGCGCACACTGTGTAGGCCGATTCCAGGTCATATGTTTCGTCTTCGTCAGGCTCGCTTACACTAAACACACATGCCGGTAGCTGTTTTTTTTCGTGCACGTCTTGTGGAGGGCTTTGGATTTGGTTCGCATAGTGTCAATTTTAGAACGCACGATGGCGCCCGTGTCATGGTATCCGCCTCCCCGACCTCTTCACCAAATACATGTACATTCAATTTGGCGGCGATCTCCTTTTCTACATTGCTCCTTCGGGCGGTGCCTTTTGCAGGTCACCTTAAATATGCGATCCACAGCTCGATGTGTTTGGCCTCAACGTCCTGGATGAAGACGATCAGCAGCCACCTAGGAAAACTCATTTCCTAGGTGGCTACTGATCATCTTTTTTGTCCCCTGAATATCGCCTTGGGGGTGAAACAGAGGGGGGGGGGGGGCATAAATGGATTTGAGCCAGCCAGCCTCTCGTCAACGAATTGCAGCTCTCTCGCCTCGCCTCTACTGGGTGACGGTGACCCAAACTTTGATCAGGTGAGTTTCATGGCCAGAAATTTGCAGTCAGATGTGTGCGACTGGAACCCACGACCAATCAGTTAGCAGGCAAAGACTAAGTACTGTGAAAAAGAGCACAACTACTTAGTCTTAGGGCCCCATCTAACCCTTTCCAGACAGAGTATGCCTGCATTCGCACTCTGGCACCTCTCACGCTCAAGTCTCAACTGGATGCTGATACTGAAGCGTTGAATGTTATAAAATTATGGTGTAATTCTTCTGGGACAACAGTGAGCAAAACTGCTAAAATGGTGGATGCCATCAGTCACATACGTATAATGGAAGTCACATTATACTCAATCTGCTGATAGTTAGCTTTGCTGGCTAGCCGCAGATTGAGTACCCGATACTTCTAGGTGAGGTTCCAACTGCTCACCGAGAAACTGCTGCAGTTGCCAGTGATAGGAGGCGTGCGGAGATAGATTGAGGTTTAGAGTCCAAACAACGATGGCAACAGCGCGACCTAGCCATCACGCAATATTAGGTCGAGCTACATGTAGTTCACAGGGATACAGACTTGGGTAGCTGAAAGAGCCAATCTTATTTTGAGTATGTATCGACTTTAGCTTACCACGAGTATCGACTACTAAAAGATTTTGCCTAAGCTCTGCTTTCAACAGGGATGTACATCACTGTACCACGTTACGGTACTTGAGCAGAAGAAGAATACTAGTACAGTGTACATACATACCAATGAACATGAAAACTGGGGTGCTGCATGCATCATCGACAGCTGACACAGTATTGTACTGTGCTGGCACACACCGACACGCACCAGGGGCATTGCCGAGAGAGTTCACTTATGCCAGCTTACCACGTGCACAGGTATAGCTTGCAGTGGCCTTGGTTGATAACCAAACAGGCTAGATTGGGGTGTTAGTGAGAGTAGGGAGCTGTCTGTACATACAATGTACAATGTACCAGGGGCTTGCCGACTGCCTCCAGTTATTGTGAACCACATAATACCTAGACTACTAGTAGTCCCAGACCACGCCACCACTCCCCTTATTCATGGCTCACACATGACGGGTTTACGTGGCTCTAGTAAAAAACAGAAGAAAAAAAGTAGAAGCTATACGAACACCTGCAGAAAGTCGTGATTTTCCAAATACAAAGACATTTAGGAAACTTCACTTCTCAACTTCAAAAACGGTCTCTTCACTGCGATTAAAATTAAAATTAAGATTTACATTACACGAGAGAGGTCCTGTAAAATGTAGGCTGTACAATTACTGCCCTTGCCAACTCCACGTCCATTGAATGACAGCTCATCGGAGGACCCCGCGGTGGGGCGGTACCCTCTTGTTCAACAATGGAGGCTATTATTTTGTGAGCATCATCAGTTGAGATAGTTTGGCAATGTCGCAGCACAGCGATGCACTCTCTAGCCAAAGCGAATACGCCACAGTAATACATAGTGTCAAGAATCAGTTGTCTGATGATTAAAGAGTTGGTGGACAAGCCGTTGATTATTCACTCTCATTGTAATATCAAAAAGTATTCTTTCTAGATCAAAGAGTGGTATATTTGATAACATATAATAACGATAGAAATGTTTACGATACTTCTCCAGACGTTTCGTTGTTCTGAACAACATCGTCAGTGGATAAAGAATTCTTTATTCTCTGACGATGTTGTTCAGAACAACGAAACGTCTGGAGAAGTATCGTAAAAATTTCTATCGTTATTAAATGTTATCAAATATACCACTCTTTGGTCTAGAAAGAATACTTTTTGTCTGATGATTGCCTATGCGCATGAAACTATTAGGTACAACGAATATGCTTGGTGCTCTGTGCCGTGTGTAGTGTCAAGAATCCAAACACAAACTAGTCCTGACTTCGTCTTTAGATGCCTTCTCGTCCACAACATGTGAGTATGGTGAGATGATGAAGACATGATGAAGAGATGATGAAGACAGAATGGAGGGGAGGGCAGTGTGAGAAGCGAGAAGACAGAATGGAGAGCGGACATTTCTAGAAGGTGAGGATGTGCGGGGAAGAGGTTGGGAGTGCAGAAGATGTACATGTATGGTTGGTCAGGGATGGGGGTGGGGGAGAGCAGGAGCAAATGAATGCTAGAAGGGGAGCAAGCATCCTCATAACTGTTCCTAGAAGTAACAGTCGCCGAAAGCCAATGGCTTTGGCGACGATAGTGGTGCGAATTTGCCTCTAAAATCGTGGATGGTCTTGAGGGATGGCGGTTTAGTGAATAAATAAATAGAATAGATAAATTCGACGGGGTTCAGGTACCGGGCAGGTCAAAATCAAGGAGTCGTACAACTCACTGGTAAAGAACCACCTTTCCGCTTCCGTGGGACGTCACCACCCCATGATCAGGCGTCAGATGCGGCTCCTAAACGGTGGGGGAAGATAGATCAGATCCACCAACCAGAGGCCAAAGGCCTCGATCCCATTTGCCACATCCATGTATTACTCATGCCAGGCCACGTGTTCCCAATTAACTGTGGGTCGCAGCACGGTTGGAAAAAATCCTTCCGCTTCCAAGCAGGATTTGAACCTGGTACCTCTCGTTTCTCAATCATGGTCTTAGACCCACCCACTGTGCCTGCCTGTGCGCATGACTATTATTTTAGTTTAGTGAATAGTCATGTGAAACTAAGTATGAATCAATGAAATTTAAAAAAAAATTCCTACACTCTGTTTTCTCCGATGATATCAGGAATGACCACAGCCGGGCGACAACAGGCACGATTGACATATACAACTAGTGCACTTCCGCCACCTCACTAAAACCATTTGGAGATAGTTGGGCAGATATTTGGGTTGCAGTATTGGGGAGGGTGGCTTCCAGCGTGATAGGACATCCCAGGTTCCAGCGTAATAGGACATCCCAGGTTGCCGATAGCCTCCCATTAACAGTATCATGACGTGAACCAAATTCATGGAGAGTATTGTCAACCATAAAGTCACCAACTTCCTGGAGCGAAACCACTGCTGCCTGACAGGAAGGTTCGATTTTAGACGTGACTGGGATACAGCTGAATTTCTGATTTACAACACCCGGAGCGGATGAGTTCAGGTTTTAGCAGAGGGAGGCTCTGTCTTGGTTGTAGCAATAATATTTTTTTTGATATTGCCCGTGCATTTGACCGCGTCTTCCACGTCGGCTTCCTCAACAAGGCAGAGCGGGTAGGCATCACTGGACCTGTTCTCTCTTGGCTGTGCGGCTATCTGTTGTAACCGTAGCACTACATTGAGGGCTCGCCCCAACTGATAGCCCTCTTCCCGCCACCTTTTACAGTTGCAATGGCCACTCGCTCGGGCAGCACCGAACTATCTGCTGAGGTCGTTCCCCTACAACCTCATTGTGGCGTGGAAGAACATTCCCGGTCAATTCCTCCGGGAGCTTCCTGCAACGAAGGGAATGCAGAACTTCACATCGCGTCCATGTCAGCACCTGACGCGCCAGGACTGGATGCGGGCGACGTCCTTCCATGGCTTATTTTCATGGTCCTGTAATGTGCATCCCCGTAACGCTCATCTTGTCTTCACGTCTCCTAACTGAACCTAGAGAGTGGTAGCTCATGTACTACATGTACAGATATACAGCATTCCCTCACTAGTGGGACCATTGTTATTAGGCTAAGGCCTGTTTTGGACTTTCCACTCTAACTAAAGAATACAAACAAACAACATGTATTCGTTGAGGGATCCTAAAGAATCATGTATGTCTATAATTGTACTTTTACTTCAAATTTACGGATTCTCCACAGGCCATAGCCCTGTTCCTCTTGATTGTTGATATTATTTTTATTTACTTGGGGACCCATCATACCGACAATACACCTTTACTACTTGTGCTACATGTTGCTGACGAATCACCTCAGTGCACAATGTGTTTGTTCCTGTTTCTTTTTCCTTTTTCGTTCTTGTCGGTTGGGCCCCCGTTCTCGCTTATCCAGTGTCCTACCCCCACTTCGAGCAACGTTGCTTGCCCTTCAGTACAGCTTTCTGACCTAATCTGGCATTCACTCACTCTCTCTCTATTTCTCTCTTACACAATCTGTCTTCTTACCCCATGGTGCGCGATGCGTGTCTTGTTCCCGTGGCCATTGGTCGTCGGAGCACACTTCGCC